AAAACCTTTGCTCTGAAAAAATGAATGGATATTAGGTTATATACTGTAACAGCTTTTTTCTTTACGAAGCACAGGTTTAATTTAATTTGATTTTTTTTTTTCTCGAGTGATCTATGACTACATTCCTCAGTAAAGACACGGAGGAAATGAAGCTTTTTTTAGGCAGATTTCATTGTGTCCCTGAAGTAGGTCATGCTGTAAAAAAAAATAAATACTTGGGCCTCCAAGATATCTGTTTATATTTGAAAAGCGTCTTCGTTTGCCCCGTGAAACCGAACCGAGCTAATTCCGAAACCAGCAGTGGAAAACCTCCCAGTCGGTAGCTCGTGTCCCTCGGAGACAGAGGCTTGCCTTGGGAATGGGACAGTGTGGAAGGACGCAGGGGACGCCGCCTGGTCGTGATGCTGTTGTCCCAGCGATGATGTGTTGGAGTCGAGGCCTGCGGCTGCCGAACAGTTGTTTAAAGCCAGCTTAGTAGTGGGGCCCATCAGGTGACCCTACGCTGGCTCCTTCAAGTATTTCATATCAGGGTAATCCGGCATCCCCTAGGGGACTGGGGATCACTTATTTTTCAGTAGGTGACCTAGACCTAGGACACAGTGGCATGGCAGTTAACACTGTTGCCTCACCACACAGTTCTCTTACAGACTAAGGGGTTTCTGTGAGAGAATGAGTCAACACCACTATTTTCATATGGGGTTTATCTGGGTGCTCCTGTTTTCCCCTCCTCTTAAAGACGTACTAGCCACATTTGATGCTGGTGGAAACTCTCACTTCCTCTGTGGATAGAGGGGACTGTAATGGACTGGTGTCCCATTCAGAGTCATGTGAAGCAGTCAAGTGCCTTTTCCCCTTTGCTGTGGCTTTCACCAGGAGAAGTGGCATTCATCTGATAATGGAAGCAGTTGACTCCTTTTCGAAATATGTCCTAACATGTCGGAGCTCAGATGTTTTATAGGATGATTCGGTTCACTGGTTCACTCAATAGAAATAGATCTGGAGGCGTGCCTTTAACATCACAAAGCCTAGCTGGTGTTAAAAGTCTGCTGTACAGAGCAGGTATTTTCCTTTCCTCTGCAAGAGAAAGGAATATTCAGTGCTTCACTTTTTAAGCTGGTAAAATACAAGAGGGCTGAACTTAAAATAGCCTTCCTGTTGCAGGGGTTGAAAGGGGCGACAGAGATTTATTTGATGTTAAACGGCTCAGGAATAAAGTCCTAGTGGAAGGTTAAAGTTAATGTGGGGCGTTTGCGGAGTGACACTGGGGGAGGTGCGCTGTATGGGGGTGGTTGGGGGTCCCGTGGAACGGATCAGGGTGCCATAACGCAGTGTTTCCGAGCGAGGCTTGGACCCCGGTCTCGCAGGCCCCTGGGCGGTGAAGCAGGAAGGGGCAGCACACACAGGCCAGGTGTTAAAGGCAGCCGTACAGTAAATCCCACGGGCTGTGCAGGAGGAGAAAGGCATGCTGCTGTCTGCCGAAGGGGGGCTTTCTTCTCGCAGTCGGAACAGTGCGATTGCAGGGAGAAGTGGTGACCAATGCATGGCCCTTTTGGTCCTCAGCATCTGACATTCCTTTCCTTTCCTGAGGGCTGTGACCAGATGGAAACTTGGTTTTCTTAGTATCACTCAAAGCACTTTCATGTTTTTGTAATGAGCTGCCGGGTCTTTGACAGGTTATTGTAACCATTGTTTTTGATTTTCTTTTTCACTTTCTGGATAGCCCTCGTTCACTTTCTCTTTCGCCCTTGAAGCTGATTAAACTTAATTTTTCAAATGCTGCTGTGTACTGTTACCTTTAAAAGCTATGTAACACAGCACTACTACATGATCGACAGTGGTGTAGTAGTGATGTGTTTTGTGAAAGTAAATTCTGGATAAATGAAATGGACTATGGAATATATCCTTTGATTTCAGACTTTGTGTTGAAGAAGGGAAGCCTTACATCAGCATTTTGCCAGAACAACAAAGTTCCTATTAACATTTTCCTTTCAATGGGACAAGGATTTAATAAGAATTGCAAACTTTTTTAGCATGAGCATGATCATGTTTAGAAACCACTTTCAGATCCCCAAATTGACTGTCACTCTGCTGTTCTCTTTTGGAGCAATAATTGGCCATCATAAAATGCAAGCGCTAGGCTTTCCCTATTGTTTTCTTTTGAGCTGGGAGCTGTTCTAAAAGCTTAGCCATAGTGAAACGAGTTTGTCCTTTTAGAACCGCTTGGTGTTGTAAAAACGCAATAAATATACTATACAGTTTTATATATCCCATAAAAAGGCCATGTGAGTAGATGTTAATACATTCACAAGTAATCTAGTGACCGTTAATCTAGTATGCTTTCTTTATCTTTGAAAGAGTAATAAAGGATAAATAGAGAATGTTTTTATTGAACTTTCGTATAAAATGAAGTGTTTTTTCTTAAGTTGGTGTTCTATGAAATGGCTCACAGTAATGACAGAAGGGACAGACCCCTTTAAAGTGTACATAGAGTATGAGTGAAAACATAAAAGATGATACAAAATGAACAATGAGTAGACTGTAATAAACCCACCCCTCTTGGGGTTTAGTAATGATACATTCACATTCTAGAAAGGTTTGCTTGTGGCTTTGGTGTGAAGTCAACTGCCTTTTCTTAAAATACTTTCACCAGTAAATCCTTGATCATGAGAGCTTTGTTTTTGCAGTTTTCAAGATTGCTCTGCTAAATGTTACACAAAACGTTTTAGTACAATTTCAAAAGCTGAAATCAGGCCATCAATCTAGTTCATGGCACAAATATAAAGTTGGTCATTTTTTCTGGTTAAAACATATTGACAGTTTTATTGCAATGTATTAGGCTGTATGAATGCTTGACATTGTGAAATGCAGACAAGTCTTTTTCACAGCCTTGCGGCCTGACTGCGTGCTTTGAACTGCAGTGAGGTGCAAATGCAAACTATCACAGAAGCAGAATGTAGCACAATAAGTGAGGATTATTGAAAATGTTTCTTGCATTAGAGATTCAGAAATAAAAAGACCATTTTACGCTGTGGAAAAAAGCTGATGTTTTTGCTTGTATAGAACTCCAGGCTTGGAAACTAAATGCAGAGGCAGGGCAAGCTCAGCTGGCATTCTGTTCTGAGATGGCTGCACAGCACGGACTGCGATTATGTATTTGCTCAACGAATAGGAGAAGGAAATCAAGTTTGACCAAAGGCTTAAAACTGAGGCTACTTTTAAAAGAAACTTGCTTTCTGAGGCAGCAAAGAATGAGTAATTGTTAGTGCTTAGAGCTTTTTTTTATCATGCAACTTACCTTGTCTACATGAGCCTAACTTGGATGAACAGACAAGGAGAAGATCTTCATTATGATCTCTTTATATAACGTACTGGGATAAAGACAAGATATTAAATATTTCGTGTTTACCCAGGTGTATGAATTTGACTTTCTTTCATCTTGTGCGTATTCAAGTGCTTTAGATCTGGCTGGGCCAATGAGCTACAGGGAGATTATTGGCACAAAGAAAACTGTGGCTGTTGAGCAAAAGGTTTGTCTTCTGTAGGTTTGATTCCCAAAGTTTTAAAACTTTGGGGAATTGCTTGAAGGTCTGGATTTCCTGCCTTGAACATAGTGTTTGAAGATTTTCGGAACACAATGCTGATACTGGCCTTTTCTGTGAGTTTGTATGTCTTGTGAGTTGGGCAGGCAGGAAGAGGCTTTGGAATATCCGCAGTACAGTATGTTCCAAACCAGATGCTTGAAAATCTATCAGCTGTTTTCTGTATACATTCAATTAATCGTCATTTAAAAGACATGATGTAGTATATATGCCGTGTCATATCTTTAGAAGCCAATCTGGCTTGATCTGAAACGGATATAATTGGTTTCATCCTTTTCTCTGTTTTTCCTGTTGTCATTGCATACCCTATATGTCATTGCATAACTGTGCAATTGTTTTTGTATAACAATGTTTAAAGATTAGACACACTGGTGATTCATGAGTTGTTCCACAAGTCGTTGATTCTGTTCTCGTCTGGAACAGAGTTAATAGGCACACCTGAGTCTCTTAACGTGTACTGGGCCTTTTATGTCAGTGCTTATTTTACCACTCTGAAGGCAGAAAAATGTTTCTGTGAGATGACATGAAAATTGTAGACTTTTATCAACCCAGTGTATTAAGGTTGCATTACAGCAGTTTATGGGAGTACCAGTCTTGGTTATTGTAGTTGCAGATACAAATCTAAAATAAGAGTACAAAAAACATGTGTAATGCATTGTCTTTTCTTTTACCTAACCTCCTTTTGTCTGTTCAGACATTCTTTTTTTTTGCTAAATGGCTACATTCAGTGGTTCTGGTTTGTTTCTAATGCCTCCTTGCTTTTCATGTTCTCATGTGTTCTCGCGTGTATCAGACATTTAAATATCGGAGACCAGATCAATCTGTGCTCCACCTTCTGAGAAGAATCCTGTCTTTCTGCTTTCAGTGATACTACTGCAAAACATTTTAAATGTTGGACTTGGGCCAAAATGTAACTCAATCTGAGGTGGTTCACGTTTTAATGTGCAGCTTGGCATCTTTGTCAAAGAGAGATGAAATAACCACAGTCCAAACCACAGGCTTGGAACAATTTTCTTGTTTGTAGTTTTGGATTAAACAAGTGCAGCGATCATTGTTGCTGACAGTCTTCCCTAAGTCAAATATAATTAAGATTAGGGTTATCGGTCATTTCAGAGCCTCAATGGTAAGTATTTATTCTATTGACAGATTTGTAATCATTTGAAATTCTTTGTGTGAACGTGAAATGTGCTTATTTACTTATTTTTTAAAAAGCTGTAATTGTTTTTTTTAAAAATCTGCAAAAACGGCAAAAAAACAGACATGGAAAACAGTTTGAAAACAGATATGGGTTTTGGTATGGCTGTAGTAATACAACCAAAAAAGGGTTAGATCATCTGAATTGCCTCCTCTGGATTGACAACTCTAACATTCTCCCATTTCCCTGAACCCTCCCTCCTTCAGATCCAGCCCTACGACAAGATCAAGTCCAAGGGCCTGCCAGACAACATCGCCTCCGTGCTGAACAAACTGGTGGTGGTGAAGCTCAATGGCGGCCTGGGAACCAGCATGGGCTGCAAGGGGCCCAAGAGCCTCATCAGCGTGCGGAACGAGAACACGTTCCTGGACCTCACAGTGCAGCAGATTGAGGTACGCGCAATATCTCGCTTCTGTACATTCAGGAAGTTTGTACTTTATTCGTGTGCCTCAGCCCTGTCACACCATGGGTAACAGTGAGTAACAGAGAAGAGGCCTCCAACAACCCTCACTGCTTCAGTCAGGGAAGCCATGTCTCCTGGTTTCTGGACTGGAGTCTAAAATTACAACCACATGCAGTCGTTTCCTTGTGTTCTCAAGGTACAACACAGGCACTGTTCCTGCCAGTGGGAAGTACACAGACTCCTGTGTTTCCAGTAAATGACATCTGCTCATGATTTCACTCGTGAAAGAGAAATTGTTTTTCACTTGCTGGAGGGGCTGCAGGGCTCAATTTAGGCCCCGGAGAAACACTGCTCAGTCTGTTTGGAAGGCACTTTGTTTGCCAGCTAGAAATGCAAATTTTAAGATACTGAACACGCTGATTCAGGCTATGTTCAGATCAAGAATCATGATGTTGCAGCCAACGTACAGTACCTTCGTAATTAGTTCCCCCACCCCACAGTAGAAATAGCTCCCATTGAACTGATGGACTCTGATGCGTACAGAAGCACTAAAATGATCCTGTAACATAAAGAACAAGGTCTTTTCTAAGAGAAATGGAGTGAAATGCTTTCACCTAGTGCAGCAGTATTTAAACCTGGAGTGAATTCTTATTCCGTTTACAATTGCTTCATTTATGTATGTGTTTTGTACGTATAGTCTGGTACAGTCTAGTATAGTCTGTTATAAATATCCTTTTTTTCCTTTCTTCAGCACTTAAATAAAACCTACAACGCAGACGTGCCCTTGGTTTTAATGAACTCTTTCAACACAGACGAAGACACAAAGAAGATTTTACAGAAATACACACACTGCCGGCTGAAAATCCACACCTTTAACCAAAGCAGGTAAAAAAACTGCACAACTCGGCACACTAGCTGAACGATATGACATGGTATTGATTTACCTTTATGCCATGACAATGAAATACCCGCTGAATCGAAGACGCGCTGGTTGTCATGCTCTTCGTTACACAGAATGTTGTCAATTTCTTTCTTTTGTGCACTCATGGCTGCTCCTTATGGGAACACCACGTTACTATACAGTATGTTTGCTTATGAGACAGCCCTGATTATATGAATTAACCATAAAATGCATCAAGATGGCATACTCTTCAACTGATGCTGGCTGCAAGAATGAACATTAAATGTAAGATGAAGATAGCAGGTTTTTTGTGACATTTTCTAATGTATTAAGAAACCGCAGAACTTGCACTTGTAGTTTACAGTTTACCAGTGTTTGCATTACTCAGTGTGCTGACTCTGCATTGTGAAGCGTTTAGAACATTTCATCATCGGACAAATACGGACCTTGTGTGTCAGTATATTGGGAGCTGAAATGCATTAGTAGAGTTTTAATGTGTTTAACCTTCATGAATCAATGCTCTGCTGTTTGAAGGTTGCATGCATTCCCTTGTACTATTCAGGACTGCCCTTAAGTAGAAACCTTGACTCTTAACCGAGTGTTAAATATTAATGAGTGTCTTGTGATAATGTGATGTTTAAAACTTTGGACGTTTTAAAGCAGAAAAAGCTATCTGTAAGAGTTAATTAGCCTTTGTGTTACCTAATTAAAATGTTTTAATATATATTGTTACAATATCAGTCAAAATGTCCCACAAGGTTTGAAGTTGTGGCTTTTATGAATTTAATGTCAACCTGTACATGTGTATGATATGAGGCCGGGGAGTGCTGTAATAGTCCAGTGGGATGGCTTTTAAGAGCACTTACTCTTTTTGTCCTAAGGTAATCTTTGACAGTGTTTCCCACTTTTTTGCACAAGATTCAAAATATACCACAGTATTTCACTAATATTTGGGTATAATTACAGAGGTTTAGGCATTGGTTGACCATTCTGAGGTAGTCATCTAGCTATAGCAATAGATGACACACTGTGCACTTCATAATTCCAAACAAAAACAATGCAAATTATTTCAAGAAGGGCAAAGTGGACATTATAAAATTGAACTTGCTCAGGCTGCAAATAAAACCAGGAAAATATATTATTAGCTCAGTCAGCCTCATTTAAAGATTAATTTGAAAAGGTGTTGCAGACACCTTGCAGTACCAGATCCTGTTGGAGCAGGCAGTTTGGGCCTTAAGTAGCTGTTATTTCTCTTGTGCTTACTGAGAAATCCCTTGAAGTTCCCTTAATCCATTAAAATGCAAGAAATCTAATGGTCTGGTTTTTCCAGTCAGTTTGTTATCATTTCTCCCGAATAGGAGATGGGCAAGCTTTGTAATTCTTCACATACTCCACATACTTGTTCATGAACAGACAGCTCATATAATGGATGTAATGCCAATCAGTAATTGTGGGTGGGGTGGGGGAAGAAGCAAGTGTAATTGTCAGTTTCTCAGTTTGATTGCCTCCCTTTTTTAAGGGTGTGTATAGTGTGAGTACAGTTACAGTTTTAAGTAACCCTTCTTGCATTCACCATGAATTCAAAATCATCATATAGGCTGGATCTCCGCTCTGGTCATGTGTTCTGCTGCCATCTTGAATGGGTTAACTTGCCAAACACTAGCTTTGATCTCAGAGCTCAGTAATTGGATTGGGTAATCATCTTAAGACCTCTGCTAGCTCACCCAGTGCAGATTTATGCTGGGCATTAATTCCTTGGTTTGTATATGAGCCAGAAAACATTAATCCTGAGATAAACTGAAAATCTCCTCGTTTACTTTATTAATCTCATTTACCTTTTGCTGTTTTGTGCTCAAATTTTACGGATCATGCTCAGTTGTCTAATACACTTCGTACACCAGATTTTGTTTTTTAGCAATTTCTCAATATTTACTAGTGGAACAGTGGACTTTGTTTTTCACAAATAATGCCAAGACCTTTCATAAAGCATTTATCTTCTCCACTTCCTCACAGTAGTGGAGGATCATTCACTACAATGTCTAATAGTCCAGATATTAGTTCACAAGTGGGAGGTAAAGGAACTGGAAGATTGACAGAACCATAGAAAATTAAAAATGAAGTTTCTTTTTTTACTCCTAGATATCCAAGGATTAACAAGGAATCTCTCCTTCCGGTAGCGAAGGATGTGTCCAAGACTGGAGAGAATGCCGATGCCTGGTACCCCCCTGGGCATGGTGACATATATGCTAGCTTCTATAACTCCGGGCTGCTGGATCAGTTGATAAATGAGGGAAAGGAGTATATATTTGTGTCCAATATTGATAATCTGGGAGCAACAGTTGATCTTTATATTCTCAATCACCTGATGAGCCAACCTAATGGAAAACGCTGCGAGTTTGTCATGGAAGTCACTGATAAGACAAGAGCAGATGTGAAGGTAAGCCACCTGAAGTTGGTATTCAAGTGAGCACTGCAATTTCAAAAGTCTGCTGAGCTGCACATCTGAGCAGCAGGTCAGTTTTTGCTAGCATGTCTTGTCTTTGTGATTGATATGATTCTTACCTCTTTTCCTATAGATAGCAAGCCTGTCTACACTCTGTGCCTCAAAGCTCTGGAATTATATCCCTAAGGATATCGGAGAATCGCCTTCCCTGAGCTCTTACACAACTGGACTCAAAACATTCATTCTTCTTTAGAAGGGCCTTTATTTAACTGGTTTTGAGTCTGTCCCTTTGCTTCCTTCTGTGTTCCTAACCCTCACTGTCGGATCTCCCACTGTGTATCTTTTTTTCTATAAAGCCAATTGAGAAGCCACTTCTAAAGGTTCTGTATTAAAATAAAGTTTATGATGTTATTGCATGGAAAAGTAGAGATCTCTGGGACATATCTTTCTTGATTTGGCCCCTGTTTGACTGCCAGGAGCCAATCTGTAAATCTTGGATGTTCCAACTACTCCAGGAGTTGTGCAGGGTTCTATGTTAGGACCTTTACTTTGTAGCATTTACCTGTTGCCTCGTGACCAGATTGTTTTACATGATGGATCTGGGATTCCCTTCTGTGATGATGACACGCAGTTTCACTCACAGACCAAATGGCACCCTACTGCTTTAGGTCTGACACGTCACAAGTGTCTTTTGGATTTTAAGATATGTGTGCACCTCTGAGTTAGTCAAGACTGATGTTATGCTCACAGACACAATTTCTAACGTCAGTGTTGCTGAGATCAAATGTTTGATGGAAGTTGGAATCTCTGGTGTTCCTTTTGACTCGTTGTGAAATTTAGTATGGACTTTAAGGTTCAAGGATATCATTTGGAAATGTATGATTTTAAGTGGAACAATAAGAGCTAAATAGGTTTTGTTTGTTTTATAATGACAATATAAAAAAGTTTTTGAACTAGCTTGAGTGTGACAGAATGTATTCTTTCAGCCCATTAAAACATTATAAACTAAGCCGCCAATATTTGTGATCCATTCAGTTACAGTTATGAATTTAAAACTGTAACACATAATTGGCCTATTCATCAATGTGTCTGGGGGTCCATCCCTCAGTTGAGATACAGAGAATAGTAATTTCTCTTTCTGAGTGTCAGTGAAAGCTCTGTCGTGCAGACCCTTGTAGGCATTGTAATTGGTCTTCCTGATCATATACAGTAGTATACAGTAGCTAGGTGCAACAGCTGCAGTGATAGCAGCTCTTGCTCTTGTGTTGGACTGGTAAGCTACAGTGGTGTAACTTGGTCTGCAGGGTGGCACTCTGACACAATACGGAGGCAAGCTGAGGCTTCTAGAGATCGCTCAGGTGCCCAAGGCCCATGTGGACGAGTTCAAGTCAGTCTCCAAGTTCAAGATCTTCAATACCAACAACCTGTGGATCTCGCTGCCGGCCATCAAGAGGCTGCAGGAGCAGAACGCCCTGGATATGGAGATCATTGTGAACCCAAAGGTAAGTTTGGAAATTATACTGAACGCTCACATTAGAAGTGACCACCTGAGCTTTTTTCTAAACATTGAATAGGTAAATGGTTTCTAACTCTATTTGCTTGTGAAAGAACTGACTGTATCCATCCACAGTAAAATATTGTAAAATACAGTAAAAACAAGCCATATTGTTTGGCTCAGACTGTTCTGACATTCCTGTCTAATCCCAACCCTCGTAAAACAATATCACACAAAAGATGTGTCAAGTAGATTTTCAGGATATTGCCTCAGTTTCTCAGTAATGCAGTAGAATTTGTTCATGAAGCAAAAGTCCTGCAGAGAGTCCCTCTGGTATCTCAGCAGAGTGTCTTTCTTTGTCCCCATAGGGTGTTTTCTCTCACGGGGCTGCACAGCAGTTATTAAACACTCTTTCCAAGATGTGGGGGCTGACAAGCTGAATAGTCAAGTTGGTGTATGGAGTTTATCACAACGTTAATTGAGAGAGTCCCTTTTTTTAAAATATAAATGTATTTGTTTTAACTGATTACATTTGCACCCTTTTCTAGAGTTCTATACAGATTCTACAATCTCTCCCTGATCATAAAATCCAAGCACTCATTCAAGTTCAGAACATACTCTTAAAATAATTTTGAAAGGGCATTTGTGTTAGAAGTCTGAAAAGTATAGGATTTAAAAAAATGTGAGTCTGCAGTTAAACCTCTACAGCCATTTCTGTCTGTAAACAGATGTCTAGGAGATATAAGGGTTTACTGTGTTCAGATCAAGACCTAACATTTTCCTTAAAATGGAAAGAATAAAAAGCATACTAGCATAAAGTAGCTAACATTTCATTACTATAATGAATGAGGAAAGTAAACATATTCGAACTCATCCAGTGTTTAGTATTGTGTGCTTCCCCTGTATTCCCTTTCTCTGGGAAATGTGAAAACAGCAGACGGTATCATTGATGCGACTTATTGGCAAAGCCCACGGGACACTCCGTCTCTTTGTTTCTGCGTCTCTTAGGGGAGAGGAAGTGAACATACCTTTACTAGTTACAGCACATTAGGCATAACTCTTGCACAGCACCATCCAAAGTACATCACCATTAATAAAAGATGACTGCTGCTTGCAAACTGCTACATCCGACTGCTGTTCCTTCAGTTATTTATTTGTATGGGTAAAGTAGTATACGTTTATTGAGGAAGCTCCCCTAATTTCTCTAATGGGGAGCTACTGTTGTAAGAACAGTCCTGCTGGTAATATAGCGACACAGTGTTCTAGATGGTTCTTGGGAAAATCGCTATGCAGAGCCTGGAAGACAGATCACTGTTTATTTCCAGTTGACCGTATAGCTGATGAGAGAGCTGCTCCTTCACTGCTGTTATTTCTCCCCTCCCAGACTCTGGATGGGGGCCTGAACGTGATCCAGCTGGAGACGGCGGTGGGCGCCGCCATTAAAAGCTTTGACAACGCCCTCGGCATCAACGTGCCCCGGAGCCGCTTCCTGCCCGTGAAGACCACCTCGGACCTCCTCCTGGTGATGTCCAATCTGTACAGCCTCAACGCCGGCTCCCTCACCATGAGCGAGAAGAGAGAGTTCCCCACCGTGCCCCTGGTCAAGCTGGGCAGCTCCTTCACCAAGGTGCGTGTCCAGGGCACAGCTGCCACTCTGCCGTGCTTGCGCCACGAACGCGCTCACCCTCACACTGAGCGTGCGAGAGGAATGAGTGCGTTAGCTTGTGCTTTCTACAGGGTGCGCTTCCTTGTTATGTCAGGGTTGTCTGTGCTCTTAAAGACGGAAGAGGGGGCTTGTGACTGGCTCATCCAGAGTAGAGAAACTTGCTCTGCAAGCGATGGCGCTGGGACATGCCATGTGCTGTATGCAAGTAAGATTCCCCAATTGGCAGAGAGCGCAGGGTTGAATTTGTTTGCCAGTCAGGGCTGTCTTAGTTTCCAGTGCTCCTACAGGCGATGCCAGTCACTGGTGAAGCAGCCTCTCGGGAGGAGTGCATCTCCAGGATATCATTCTCCCACACACTGCTGGAGTCACAGCTGTGTGCTCAGCCTTGAATCAATAGGTGTTTCAGTGTGGGCGTGCAATGATGGGTGATTCCATTTTGCTTTTTAACACAAAGAAAGAAAGGGCTCCAGTGAGTCTGACAGCAGGTAATACTAAATTAACCCTCAGACAAGATTATCCTGCCATCTCTAAAGACCCTGGCAGACGCCTTTTTTGCTAGAATGGTGACTCAACGCAGCAACTAATCTGGACCGAAAACAATAACGAGGTCAGACTGATCTTGTGTCACAGCTTACAAGGGAGGGAGAGCAGGCAACTGGAAACACTGATGACATAATTTCTTTCTTTCACACCCATTTTCATTGAAATAGGAAACATGGCTTTCAGTGGTTGTTCATTATCTCTGACTGGCTTTGACGTTTCTCATTGCTACCCTGCCTTAAGTATGAATGGCTGTTCAGACAGCCTTATCTCTGATGTGCACAGAAGAGTGGCTGTGCCCATGTTAGTAAAGAAAGACACTGAGGATTTAAGATGAGATATGAGATAACCCCTGTCAGATTACACCAAACTGGACTCTGCAGAGCATGCTCTGAGGGGCCCTGTTAAGTGTAGAATAAACCTGGGAAAGCTAATGAGACTTTAAATGAATAGCAACCCTTTTTACACTGAACCAAGATGGGACTGAAATAGGTAATGTGGTTTTATGTATTGTTCTTATTACCTTTATTTACCACCTTTCCTTTCTGTTTTGAGATAGCCTGCGATACTAGATTGACGGGGTTGAGGTTGACGAGCTTTGAAAGAATGCACAGTAGTTCTATAACAGGTCTGACTTGCACATAAGCATTCTTTAATGACTACTTCTTCAACCTGTTTTTCTTACTGTGAATCAACATCCACCCCTGAGCCATTTTGATGAGCATTAAAGAATAGGCATGAATCACGCTTACATTCTTTTTACGTCGTAACTCAGCTGACGTTTTATTTTGAGGATATTATTTGTCATGCAGGTAGTGGCCACAGTAATGGAAACGCCTGCATAAATGAAGGGCATTTCCAAGTCTCTTGAAAGAGATCGCTTCCACACAGGTGTGGCCCAGGCCTTAGGTTAATCTCATCCCATCACTGTCAGGCGTGTAATAAAATGCTGGCCATTGGAATTATGTCTGGCATGGCTGTAAGAGAAGACCTCAGTGGCTGTGAAAGAAGGGTCAATGGCAGGTTTTGACAAAGTGCAATAGGTCTAGTGACAGAGCCCTATTCCTGTATGAAATTTAGTGGTTGCCCATTACAGGAGTCGGAATGGAGGTTCATTGATTGTGTTACCATGACATCTCCTCTGCGAGTGGGCAATCCATTTTCCCTTGGAATGGATCGTTTGGAACGCATTGCTCATTTTTCTCTGCACCACATTCCAAAATCGTGAAAAAGTTTGAGTTGCCAGGCTACAGTGCAGACTTACTTGCGTTCTGACATTTCTGTAACTGCTGCTTTTTTTTAGGTCCAGGAGTACTTGATGAGGTTTGAGAGTATCCCAGACATGCTAGAACTGGATCATCTGACAGTGTCTGGAGATGTTACCTTTGGAAAGAACGTTTGTCTTAAGGTAAGTGACAGCGACCCTGGCAATCGGGTGTGCAGGATCAGATCAAACAAGCCTTGTAGTGGCTTTTAAGTGAGAGCGAGAGTGGCCCTGCAGTTTTTTATGTGGGCTGGTAAAGTCACAGATTATACAGTTAAAGTTATGCTGAGCTCCCTCTGGTGTTTGTGTGGTTGAAGTTTAAAGGAAAAGATGCAGAGGTACTAGACAAGGTCACAATCAAGCTTGTTAATTTTATTACTCTTCACATAGGTCAAAACCTTAAAATAATTGCAGTGCTCTTTACTTCGTAACTCATGTGAATTGGACAAGTCTCTACTACTTGACCGCATCCAAACCCACTGTCCCATGTCCATATCTGAGATCATTTCATTGAAATTTAAAAACGTCTTCTCTTTGACATTGATTTCAGCAGAAGAAAGATAAAATTGATAAATCATGATTCCATATATACACTTTGTAATCTCTTCCTACCTATACAAAGTCTACACAACCTTTCAAAAATAGTATTTTGTAGCCCGGCAGCCTGAAATCAAGATGTATTAAATCAGAATTTATTTTAGTTATTTTCACATTGTAACTCAACCTACAAGTGAAAAAGAAATGCCCATTCTGAAAAGTTACTACAAATGCATAGCTTAAGAATTCTGATGGACATAAAATTCTTAGAATTCAAATTTCTACAGATGTCTTCTGTCATATTTGTCAATGTGATTAAAAACTATTAAATGTGCTCTCCAGGACCTATAGGTATTTAGTCTTGCTCACAGTAAAACCTTTTTTTATATGGAAAGATACATCAGGAACCTTTTCTGTTAAATAACTGCTGTGCCTCAAAAGCTTAGTTAAATGTTGAAGTTGGTACAGGAATTGTGTAAATTAAATTTGCTGCATGGGTGGTACCGCCTAATCAGTAACTGGATTCAGCATAGATCCTCTTCACAAAATTAATTCCTTGTTTATTGCCAGTTTGATGTTTGAGAAATTCCTCAGTTTTGATGGGACTTTTTTTTTCTTTTGCAGGGAACAGTGATTATTATTGCTAATCATGGAGATAGGATTGACATACCTGCTGGAGCTTTACTGGAGAACAAGATTGTGTCAGGAAACCTCCGTATTCTTGATCACTGAGGCCCAGTTGCTCATCTATAATTTAGGTAATGGTAATGAAGACTGAATGATTAATTCTGGACTGTTACAGAACCAGAGAGTATGTTCTTTCTTCCCCCTTGTTACATGTAATGAAATTTCACTTACTCTTCCATTACAGTATGTCATTCACTGTTCTTTTTAAGAATCTTCCCAGTGTTTTTGAGTGGTGCATCCCTTGGATTTTATCATAACTTAAAGCACATAGTCTGTAACTAGAGGTCAGAAAGCAGTGGCTGTTCCTGAAAAGGTTCCAGCTGAAATGCCTGAGCCTTGTCTGAATTCTAGCTCAGTCCCAGACAGTAATTAAAGTGCAATATGAAAACAAAATATGCTTTCTCTCTTTTTTTTTTAAGGGTAAAGATATTGCAAGTTGTACACCTATAAATTAAATACTGTAATAGGGATTAACATAATCCAAACTGTATTGGTTAAAATGTTTAGCAATTTATGATTTGCAGAGGTTATTTATTCAGAATTTCAAAACCATTTCTTTGAACTATCGAGTTTGTTCAAATGAACTAGAATTTTCTGAGCTGCAATTTGCTGTGGAGTCATGCGGAATTCTTCAGGGCACAGATACTTGCACTCTTGCGAGTCATCTTTGACTTTGTCTTGCTGAGGTGTTGCTGTATGAGATGTGGTGAAATTTGGAGGAGCAAAAACATTCACAGCCATTTCTTTTTCTAAACAGGTTATGAAACTGTTTATTTGCATATTCTGTTTTTTTTGTAGATGCATGGCATTGATTTGCAAGTTTCTTTAAATTTCAGCTGCCATGGCTGGTGTTGTGGTTAAAGGGAAACAATTGAAAAGCTTATTACTTGGAAAATGTTTAGGGAGCTGTGCAAGGGAACTAGATTACTTAAATTCACCCAGCTGTAGGCAAAGTAAAACATCTCTAAACACAGAAAGGTAAAAGTAATACCTTACCATAATTGTACTGGATCTATTTGCACTTTTAAATGAAATGGGAATGTAGGAATGAGATAAAATCAAAATATTAGTTACTGTGCATACCTGAAACATTTTAATGTAACTATGCATTCAACAAAAAACACATTTTGCCAAGCTCTTCTAGCAAAGAAGCACCTATATTCGTTTTTTTTTTTAATTGTCATCCCTAATCACTTGGTTTTGAATTTTGCAAAGCAGTATTTTTGAGAATAAGTCAACAAGATCAAATTTCACAATTAACCAGGTGTTTTTCTTTTGATATCAGATTTTCCTTTTCCTGTTGGTACGTGTAGATCTATTTAAATGACCATTACACCCACTTTGCACAACTAACTGGGCAGTGGCTTAAGAGGATGTATCTTAACTTTTAACATGATTTAAAAAAATCTTTTAAGGAATCAGTACCAAAAAAGGTACTGATTCCAAGACTGGGTAATCTGGCATAAATTGTTTCCTAATTGTCAGAACATGCGAGACAAACATGAACCTAAATGCTCAAGTTTCAGAAGTCAAGAAAAACATCCAGGTCAGAGGTCCAAGCATGTGATATTTGGTACCAGAGAAGTAAAGCAGTGCTCAAAAACACTAACATACAGAGCTCTCAGTTGCAGTAGTTTTGGGTTTTGAAATAGCCTACACTTCAGGATATGCAAATTCTAAAAATTGCAAATGCAAAAGGGTGCTATGCATAACATTACTTTGCAGGATTAATTTCTTAGAATTTATTGCATGTTATAAAAACTGTTTTTAGCTTTGAATAGGTATGATTTTATTATGGAAATCAACACAAAACCGTATAGGAAAGATAAATCCAGATATTCTTTATAACCCTGTTGCTAAAATGTGGGAATAACTGAATATGCTCCTTGCACAAAACACTCTAATCACTGGGCATGGTACTCATTTATTTAGTGGTTAAAATTTGAATTGAAAATGAACTTCTATTTGTGTTCAAGACCTCCCCTCTGTTCCATTAAAAATAAGTTACGATGATGCTTGTATTTTTACCTTCATCCAAGTCAGCAGTTTACTTCCACGCAAAACATGTAAAAGACAAATTTCTTTAAGATACAAAACAGGAACAAGGTAATTCCATGTTTTATTTAGAAAGTTGTTGGGTTTCAGGACAGTTAAAACTCAGGCATGCTGTTAAAAGGTTTCGTACCTGCCAGTGCAGCAATTAGGGATCATTCCATACTACAGGGCAAACTGTTAGGCACTCAGACAGGAAATATACTGTTGGAAGAAGTCAATATAGTCTTTGATATTTACTTAAAAGTAGGCACTTTATATTTAGCAATGATTGATTAATTAAACAGCACTGTCACTCAAAGATAATATAAAACCCCTCATACACGATGAGGAATGACATTCTTTTGTCTAATACCAACTTCATTATTCAGAATGACAGTATTCTTAAACCTAGGTGATACTTGTTTCAGGGGGAACTCGTATTTCACTACACTAACATACACATATGACCAAAGGAAATGGGAGAGTAAACAGATGTGCAAAGGTCTGTATTTCACCTAATGATTTACCCTCTCCTATTGTATATCCATCTTTTGGTACTAGTCAAAACATGGAACCATTGATACAAGTTTGCATCTGTACTTATACAGTTAGCATGCCACATGAGCTTTTATAAGTACAACAAATGAGGCTATGATTTTTGTAGAAATGTCCTGTTGTCTCTGGGGCTTAGTGACATGACCTAGTGGTTAACTGCATGGCCAGTGATGTTGGAAGTGGTACTATCCCACAACAGCAAGGCACCAGTATCTGTTCTCCACTGGAGGCCAGACAGGTCTTTGCTGTCTGGCCTTTTCACTGTTACAGGTCTGTTCGTGTTGTAGACTGCACTGATTGTACTTCAGACACTATGCAATGATCCACTGGGACAGCTTTTTCTGAGGTGAGGGCTTTTGGTCATATGCTATATTCCATACATCTTAAAATTTAAAAATCATTTTTACCTACTAGACAATTTCAAACACCCACCTAAAAAAAGTGGGACAGATATACCAGATATTAAGGTCACAAGTGTCAATGAAAATATACCTGGGCCATGTACAGTATACGGTAGGTTAGAAATTTGGCTACAGGAGTGGATTTTAAAGGATGTGTATTTGATTTGGTTTGAGGATCTAAGTATTTACAGCTGCTCCAATGCAATGTCAGAGTATAAAGAGGGGCAGACAAAGGCAAGCAGAAATTACACTTAAAACTCCATCCTTTAAAATGTCTACTAAATAAGCAGATACTGCAAATAAAAGTCCTTCTGCCAAACCAGAAGGTACATGACCAAATTATCACAGAAAATCTTCAAATAAACTCTAGTATTTATACAAATTTCATATAAGAGTTTCATTTAACAATTTTTACATTTACATCAGGTTATTTTACATGTGCACATAAGTAACCATTTCAGGTGTCTGTCACCTTGTCCGTTTTTAACTTTGCTCAGTTAAACGCATACATCTTAAATGCAACAAAATCTAAAAGTAAGATTTTAGAAAGGTCTGTAAAAAAATAAGTTATGAGATAATCATTTTACTATAGTCATATTGTAGGATTTAAAAGCTTCTGTTAGAAATTGTACCACAATTTTGTTTTGAGTCAGTTGCACATGAGATAAAGTCACAGCAGTACAGATGCACAGTGTCATTTTCTTAATGACAGCTCTTCAGCACATCCTCAGCCATGTCACAGCCATATCCAAGCATGGATTTGGACCAGAGAAACCTGAGTCTTTCTAAAGAGTCTTAACACGTCACAGGATAGCTTAGTTCCCATTGTGACCGTGGAGCACTGCCCCTGTCACTGCACCATCAGCCTTCTCGAACAGGCTCAGCTACAGCAGGGCTCTTGGCTGGGAATCCAGTTGCAGGACACAAAGGTCATGAGATTAAAAGTACATCCTGACATGCAAAGAGCAAGTTTCACTCTTCCACCTGATCACCATCACCTCTTTTGTTCCCATATCTCTGCCATGTTTAAGTCTAGGTTTTCAAGTGTCTTCAGTGCTTGGACATTCCCAGTGTAGAAAGCTATATCTACCATAACCAGCCTGCAGGAGGGGAAAAAACAGTTTCGTTCATAAAACCACACACTGGCAAGATGGCTGCTCGTATTAACTTCATCAATAGAAGTACAAATATTTTCTCAGTTTGGTTGTCCTAATTTAAGGAAACATGAATAATGGCAATTGGTCGATAACAGGTTTTGACACGTGGAAAGCATAGAAAAATAATGGGATTCACATACCCATGTTGAGGTCCTCCATCATTTACTACATTGATCCGTGCTAGCTGCCTCTTCAGATGGAGTTTAAAGCTTGCATTTATCCTCAAGAACAACATCTTAAAAAAAAAAGATCACAATCAATTCCCTTTACCAATATCCTTGTTTCACATCAGAAAAGTGAAAACGGACATCATATTTTAACAAAACATGCTTATGTCCACAATTTTTTTTTCCAATTATGTCTCTTTCAATACCACAAACATTTTAATCAGCGAAAAAAAAATCTTGTTCCAGAAAGTCATCTGCCCCACCTGTGTTTGTTCTTCAGGTAGAAGGTCATATATAGCTTCATGCATTTTGGCCATCTGTTTACACACATTTCGGAAACAGGTTGAAGGCATTGGGGCCTTAACTTCATACTGGGAGGAATTAAAGAAAACTTGCGTTATTTTACAGTCCACTTGAACAGAACCACTACACATATGCTTTTAAACTACTTTTAAATGTGAACTTACAAGCTTTAGCTGTTTTTTTCCTCAATTTACACAATCTTTGTGTAAATACTACCAACATCTAAATATCTGCTAAAATTGTAAAAGGTACAGGAATACCTTCTTACCTTGGACAGAACTTTTTCAAACAGGCTATCCATGATTGCTACAAGTTTTGCTGAAATTTCAGCTATATGGTCATTATAATCCTGTAACAGGAAAAAAAAACAACAAAGCATTTAGAATAAGGTCACATTTACAGTTACAAGCAAAATGAGATTTAGATTCTTCTTTCCCAACAAAAGAAATGCATAATGAAGGTCAGGAATATAAGCATTTGAAAATCCCAAAATCAACATATCCATTCTAATTTTGTGATCACAAAACTAAGTTAAATTAAACAGTCAGCAGACATTCTTTTGTAGTACAATTGCATGCATTCTCATAATTGCCACCACACTAGAATTTACTTTGTGTTGATTGCTGGAAATGGATATTAGAGGTGAAAAAAACTAGCATGAACAATTTAAGTGAATCAAACAAAGCATATGCTTTGTGTTCAAAGCAACCAAGAACACACTTTGAAATATTCTTTATCCACAGAGATCTTAAGAAATATGTTCTCTTGGTTTATACAAAAAACGATGAAAACTGACCATTAGAAATAAATGTTCTTCATCTTAAAGATGATGAGTATAGAACACATCAGCAATTGTGCTGCACCTCACCTTGGTGATGTGGTCAAAGTGCCTGAGAATACTGTACTGTTTGGGCTGCAGCCTGGCTTCAAAATGAGCCCTGATGATGGGAATGTAGTGTACAATTAGCTGCAAACAGCGGGATGCAAGAGCTAGAGAAAAAGAATTAGAAACATGTCAGTATGGGTGCTCATAAATTAAAACAGCTACCTGTCTTGCACTTAAATGATAGTGCAGATCTCCTTAGAGCTTACAAAGACCAAATCAGTAAAAATACGAGGCTCTATCTTGAGGTTACACTTTACCTTGTGCATTGTCCGAAAGCTACCTCACATTAGTTCCAGACAGTCAGCAGTGATGAAGGGGATTTTTAATTATTTTGCTCCCTGAAAACATCTGTAAATATGGTGTTTTGTTTTCAGCTGTGAACATGTGAACTGAAAATGGTTTTGAATTAGAGATAACTCTCTGGCAGACTAAGGGACATTGCACAGCAGCAGCTTGTTCAGAAGAGCAATGACTTCTGCACTGTTAAAAAGTAAACAAGCTACAAACATCTAATACTAGATTTCTACAGGCAAGAAACTGACATCAGTTGTAAAGGGATCCATAATCAGAAACTTTAGCAATAACAGATATGAACAGCATCCTTTACACTTTTGTTGTTCAAGACTGCCAAACCTTACCCAGGTTTTTTGTGGTTATTGTCTTCAAACCCACCACCTGTAAAGCCCCTGCCCCTAGAACCAACTGGCAGCACCGGGAGTTGAAATGCTGGAAAAAAAGCACACAAAAAAAAGGATTATGTATCAGTACTTTAGGTAACCATCTCATTTAAAGATGTTAAAATTGATGCGTTATATGATTGGATACATCTGCAGATTTTCAAAGTATATTATCTACTTCAGTAAAATGAAAATTCGATGTTATTAAAATTTAGTTCAATGACACTCAAGGTACACATACTAATATAAAGAGCTCAACTAAAACGAGTTCCGTCACTGTGCTCTGCAATGATTTCACACAGTAAAACATAAAAACATAACTTAATTCTTTCAACGAACCTTTAGTAAATCTGACAGGCGAATGAGCATGTCTGTAGTAATGGAGGGTATGTCATTCACACACTGGCAGTATTCGAGGAAAATTCTTATCAACAGTAACACAGTCCTGCCCATTGAAAGAAAAGCAACTCATTAGTAGATAAAGCATGTAGTCAAGCCGACTAGCTTTGCGTGAGCGAGAGGAAGGAGCTGACAACAGCAAACCCAGACCAAATAGTGGTTCATCTTTTATATACACTACTTTTTAAAAACAAATTAAAGATGCAGTATACAAAATGAACGAAAGTTAAATCATTTATATTTGCAATTTAACTAAACAAGACAGGTAAGACTTGCCCAACAACGGGATACTTCTGGCCATCAACACTTAAGTAATCACTTGGTTTCCGCTCCTCTGCACCTGTGACAAAAAGAAAGTTATTGCCGGTGGTTGTGACCTGATTACCAAACAAAACATGCAAAGCGACAGACTAAACAATATTCCGGCCTTCCATGCATTAACTAAAGTCAATAAATAGTAAGCTTTTTAGAGATAAGAAAAGCACATAAAATTTTCCCTAACGTTCATTTTACAGAACTACTGGGGTGAAGAGCAAATCCGACCGTGTGATAACACATAGGGGATATAAAAGTGCTGAACAGCCCTCTAAATTAGTGTTGAGATAATAATGAGATCTATAAAGAGTCATGTTTTTCTTAGCTCAATGTCTTGGAATAAAGCAGCCCCATCACTCATAGTTTTTATAATGAGATACATAAGATTATTTAATTGGAAAAATGAAATACCTGCTATTGGTGCAATCTCAGGTTTAGGATTAACCAATGGACAGTGTAGTCAATGCATGGAATTTGAGAATTCCAAGGATATTGTGTCTATGTCCATTCTTTTTTAGATCAACATTAACACCTCACATATAATTGTTTAAAAGACAGGCAAGACAGTTTCATTTCACATCTACAACTGGAGTGTCCATGCACATACTGTATGCATGAAAGTCTTAAAAATACCATACCAGTTTGTTTCTTATCTGGTAATGTTATCCGTCCATCTGCAATGGAGTTAACCAGATCCTGAAACTCTGCAGGAACTTCAGCCTGCTTCCACCTTTCATTATCAAGCAGAAGACTGCAGGCAAGAAAATAGAGAACATTAAACCAATGATCTGTGGAGGAGAGACAGGCTCCCATAAGGCTGCTTTTCAGCCGGATCAGCCCCATGCAGTTGTCACATAAAAAAGTTTGGATGCAGGGACTTGAGTGGAGGTAAGATTCATTCTTCATTATAGAGAAAGCCTATAAAACAGACAGAGTGGGATAGTGAAGGTAGCTGCAAAATTAACTGTGCACAGCAGCGACAGCTGACAGACATCTATATCAAACAAACAGTTCGGAAGGCCAATATAATCACTGACTTTCATGACCACCCTTTGCCTAGTGATTGTGAGCTCCTTTTATTCCGGTCGTCAATTAAGAGTACAGAGATTTAAGCACAACAGAACTAAGTTATCCTTTATTTTTATGGCTATTAACCTGCTTAATCTGAGCAACCGATTGAATATTTTACTTTAGATATTGTTTCGTCATGCACAAATCTTCTCTCACATCCTGATGACCCAATTTTTTGTTTTATTCTAATTGGTGAAGATTACTTTAGATGCTCATCTGTTATTCTGATCTTATGCATGTATGTACAATATGTTTCTTATTTGTTAAGGCGTTCATCTTGTGTAAAATGTATTGTGTTGTCTTTTACCTGCCTTCAATGAAACTTTCCCATATGGGACAACAGAGGAAGTAAGCAAGTACAATAATGTACAGAACTGAACTGATGGCTTGTGCTTCCAGGTACTAAGCGCTGCCAAAACCACACTTCTAGACGTTGACAGCGAGTACCTCAGCTTGGTTTTGCGCTCCTCGTGGAACCGATTGACAAAGCGGTTGGCTTGGCTTTGCAGCGCCCCCCTGAGGGACATACTCCTCCTGCCACAGAGCTCCTCTGTCTCCTGCACGAACCTCTCCACAGCCTGCGACAATGCCACAAACTCAGATGAGCTCAGCTTCTCCAACGACCCATCCTGGGGGAGAAAAAAAAAAAGGAAAAGAGTTCAAGAGGGCTTCTTCACTGGCTCCTCAGCTCTGGGACTGATGGCAGTAATCCCACAGTCGGTAGGGTGGGATTAGTCTGACTGGACTCCCATAGCTCTCAGCTAAATGTAAAAAACAAATAAAAAAGTGTTAATCAGAAATCCTAGCCAGGTGAGCATCCAGGCTTAAAAAACACTTGTAACCTGCTGAGGGATCAGAGATAGAAAAAAAAAGATCAAGATCAATACAAAGTTCAGAAATACATACTGTAGGTACATATTGGCCTTCTTCCAGAAACAAAAACTCTGTGGAGGAGTTGTTCCTTCCAGAACATTTAGTTAATTTCATGTCCAGTTTCTAAGAATAAGAAATTAAATGTTTACTTTAAAAATAGGGTCCTAATTTGAATCAGTAACAGAACATACAGGATTCTTATGACTAATCTATAATCACACTGCACTGCCTCAATGAACATATGCAATAGGAAAGTAAGAATGGAGAATTTAATTTTGTCTTATACATAGGACAAAGAACGCCAGTTGAAGAGTCTGTTCGTCGCCATCTCATGTTTTACAACAAAATCATACAGCTAATTAGGAAAGCTGAAGAAAGAGAACAATGAGATGATTTTAAGACAATGCTGTAGAAAAATTGGATTGTAAGGCCAACATCTCATCTTCTAGAGCTGGGAAACAGGCAGTTAGCTCTGTTACATTCTGTGGATCAAATACTAGTGTGCTGGAAAAATAAAATTCTAGATGATCCTTTAAAAAGCTTTTCACAATTTTTAAATATCAGGAGAAGTAGCCAATAACTGGATGGATTTGCATTCTTAACTAATATACTTATTTTAGTGCTCATTCTTTTACAAAACAGGGTCACCTAACACCTAGGGGTTGATCCATCCCTCCAATAGGCTTGAGTTATTTATTCTTCACAGTATGGTTCATCTGGCCTTCATCTCATATTACCATACAACATCAATTTTAATAGGAGGAAGTCAAATCTCAACTACCCTGAGGAAAGAAAACTAGAAACCATGGAGCCAAAAGCACAGCATCAAAGCATATGGGCACCAGATCTCATACTCATATCACAGCGGGAGTTTATTACCAAACATGTTTGTACTGCTTTTTTCATGTCTATTAGAAAAAAGAAGGCAGGCACTAATGTTCATCTAAGGAGAATGCAGCATACACAAATGAAAAGATGAAGAAAAAAACTTCTTCACTTCTGTAGAAAAACCTATTTCAGTTCCAAGATCCTCTGAGGTGAACTACACTATTCCAGAAGCATGAGGCAAAAGCTGTTCATGAGCATGTCAACAAGGCCTTTGGTGCAAATCTGGGAACAAAGCACTTGCATTTAATGATGTGAACCTTCAAGGAAGCGTGTGCAGAATTTAAAAAAGACACATTTGAAAAGAAGACATTCAAAATAGCCAACTCTAAAAAAAGTTAACAATTCTTCAAAGGCAACCAGCACATTGTAAGGAAGTCCATAAGCCAGGTTTGCCAGAATTTGGTGTGAGCTAATATTTTTTATCTTACTTACTAAATTAACTGTTGCCTTTCCAGTTAACCTTACAATATGCAGCAGTCTGCAACTATCTATAATAACTGAAACAATGGCTTTGTTCACAGTGACAACGTCTTTAGTGCTTATATGCTTCATGGCTTTGATTGTTTTATAGTTTTAAAGTATAAACATACACCACCCACTAATAAGAATGGATAAATATGTAAAATAATATAGTATATTAATACCAAGATGAAGCACTTTTTACCACCTGTGTGGTGCAGAGACAATGATGCATTCCATTCTATTCATATTGACAGAACTAGACAACTATGTGTGTGGCTGTACCAATGATAAAAATATGAAGAAAAAAATAAGTTTGTGAAAAAACATCTCTTGGTAATAATAAAACTCAAAAATATAATTACAGAAACCTCTGGACATTCATTTTTAAGTAAGCAAACTTATATTTTCTAACTTATTATGTTAGCTTAAAAAACATGGAACAGATATCTACAAAACTCTACAAAAGGCGCCTGGCAACAGCACTTCCAGCAGCTCTTAGCACAACATTAGAGGGCTTTTGCAGTGTCACTGAAATCTGGCTTTGTAATCCCACAGCATGCTGCCATTTATCCTCTAACAAATGTATCCTAACAAGCTTTCCTTTCACCAATGACACAAAAATGCTTGTAGTACTACCCGCCTCATGCTGATTTGTTGTCAAAATTTCATATATGACAAAATACACTGAAGGCAGTTACTTCAAAAAGTTAGCAATGTAAAATGTTAATGAGCTTCAAAATGTAGAAGCACAAAATGGTTCCTGAACACTATATTACTAAAGCCTAAATGGATGAAATCAAGGTATGCCCATTTCTAACCCAACACTCACCCATTACCACCCTCACAAACAAGACAGTGGTGAAAAAGATGACCTCCTGCCTCAACCGAAATGTCAAGCCCTGCACATCAAAGTGAAGAACAAAAGGCTCTGATAAGTATCCATCTGTTTAAGCTCACCTTTGCTCTAGCCATGAGGAACTTGACACAGCGGTCGTGGCACACATCAGAGGCGTTGTACAGCAGCTCCTGAATATTATTGGCCACTCGGCCGAGTTCAAGGTCTGTCAACATCATGTCCTCGTTTACCCTTGAAAAAAAGACAAATACAATAAACAGTGCATGCAAAAACAAAAAACCCTGCTGTCCCTGCCTTTTCAAGTACCAACAACCAAACACACATTTACATTATGTTACATGAAAGAGAAGTTACTACTATCAAGTTAATACTATCATGATGTTTGTATACAGTAGTTGGTTCAAAACAGTTATTCAAAGGACACTTCTGACTGAGACTAAGAACTAACATAAGTATAGAATTTTTACATATCTCATTGAGAAGACCTAAAGTCTTCAGTGAATGACTGAAACTGGTGCACTGTGTTTGTGTAAGACCCACACAAACAAGGGGAGAACTGCAAAATTCATACACATAAATATCGGAGACTGGAAGGGAACCCAAGACCTCCCTGCTGTGACATAGAAGCACTAACTACTATGTCACTGTGCTGCCCAAGCTGCTTTCAGTATGGGAATAAAACATTAAAGTAATCACTCAAAGAAGTAAAAGCTGAAGAGCAGCATTTAGATTTCCTAAGGTGGACTATGTGCAGAACTGTTATTTTTAATATATAAAAATTGACATTCATTTCATGGTATTGCAAAGGCAAGATGTTGTATAGCCATTATGGCATAAACGCGGTTCTAGAGTCTATCTAGAGTGGCGATGAACGTACGGTATCTCCACTCCACCCGCAGTAACTGAGGAGGATGTTTTTTCCCTGCTGGAAGAGGACTCTGTGGTGCACTCCTGCTCTGAAGCAGAGTCACTACCGCACAGCTCATTCCGAAGGCAGGAAGTCCTTTGGTTCTTGGTGTCAACTCCAGTGCTGGGCTGCTCCACTTCAGCGAAAGCATCGCTTATAAACCTGCCTTCATAAGTCAGGTAAGCAACTTCCGGGTCCTTAGAGAAATTTTTTCCTGGGTTTCCCTCTGCCAAAGTGCAGTCAGACAGCCTGCTCTTCTGGTTCCCATCTAATACTTTGAGGACAACATTTCTGATGACACTTAACGTTGCCTAGCGGGACAAAATAAAAGAAGGGAGAATTAATAATTTATTTTCATATATGTCACAATGTATCACTTTTCATGAATATTAAAGTCACCCTACCTTTATTCTTTTCAGAAAAAGTATAAAGTTGGCAAATATGTATTTCAGAAGCTCAAACCACTGTGGAAAAGTCATCAGCCTCATCTGATCTGCAAGCCTTTTAAATGCAAAGCAAAAGAAATATGAGAAATTTAGGATATGCGCTCTGACATGAAAGTCACTATTCACTTATGGACCTCTTGAAAGTCACAATTAATTTATACACTTCTTTAAAGTAATGTAAAACAGAAACTGGGAATAATGTAGTCTGAATTTATTTTTTACTAGACCTATGCTGCATAGAAGTAACATTTTAACTTAAAATTCATATTGGAAGAGATAGTAAAGAAACTGCAGGTTCTAGCTCTAAACAGTCTTTAGCTTAACATGCTAAAATAATTAAGATAGTCATTGTCATGAGAGCATAACCACTTATACATCTCAAAGACCTCTATTTTAAAATGAGTATCAGTGTAAACTCTGAGATACAAAATCTATTTTCCTATCATCTGATAAACATTGTCTTTAATGTTTTTTTGGTTTCAAGTACGTTTACTCACTTTACAACAACTTCTGTGTCTATTTCTTCAATTTGTGATACTGTGCTGACAACACACTGTGGGAGAAAATATTTCAAAGTACAAATTAAATTACATTAATAAAAGTAATTAGCAAGAGCATGGTTATGAGAAATAATTCTGTGTATTACCGCATCGCTCAATACCTCTGAGACCACAAGTAGTTTATCATCCTTACAATAAAATCTTCAGCAAGATATAATAAGTAACAACCACACTCAAGTATAAGCACTACACACAAGAGTATAGAGTCCTACCATTAGGTATATAGATAAAATCAATTTTTATTGAAACTACATAAAATATTACAGGTGCGCAAAAAAAAATGTAATATGTATTAATATTTTCATTGCTGTGGCATAGGGCATTAAGTAAATAAGTACTTAATGGGTGATTAACCATATATTAGGATTTATAAGTACAAGAGCAAAAACTTGCTTTTACAGTATCTGTCATTAATAATTACTATGCCTATTCCAGAATGCTTAAATTCCATGGTATGATTCAGAACCACACCAGAAATGGCCTTGGTTGCACACTAAATTTATTCAAATTTGCCATCTATATTACCCACCTGTTTAACAGTGTTCTTTGCAGCAATAATCATTTCTTCACTGTAGATCTCTAAGAAATCAAGTTTTCTCTGCCTCAGTAGTCCAAACACCAAAGACTCAAGCCTATCCTTTAAAGGACAAATAAAAAGTGTTTGCAAAAACCATAAAAATTAACTTACCATCATGGTTAGGGCTTTATTAAAATCTCAAATATTAAATCGAATCTTAAATGAAAGCAGATCCCTAAAAGCTGAACTCTCCTTCTTTTTATTTCATTCTCCTTAAGATGATGGAGGAAGAAAAAGACAATGCTGTCCTCATACCTTTTCCAACACTTGACCTTCATCTTCGAGTGGTCTGTTGAGGTCACTTCTCGCATAGGTGGTGAAATCAGCTATCATCATCTTATCTATTAGCTTTTCCAGTTCACAGAGCTGGGAGCCTAGATGCCTGTAGCATGAAAATTTAATTTAATGCATAACAATAATGCAACAGTGTTATGGTATGACCCACTCAACAGCTTCTATGCAATATAAAAAATACTTTATTCTAGAAAAAAGAAAGGAAAAGTCTCAGCAATATGAGGGTGGTTATAGAGACTGGAAAAGTTTTTAAGTTCACAAGCCAAAGCGAGTTAGCCTTGTTTGCACATGTAATCCTAGATGGCAATGAATCTTCTTTTCAGCATTAAGTACACTTACTGCATTCTGAATGATTTTTATTACCTCTGAAAAAACATCTGGACAGAAAACATTAGCATGCCTGCGATGTCCTGCCTCATCCTCTGAAAATGCTTCAGAGATTACACCTCATACTGCCACCATGTGGCTGTAATATGTACAGCTTTCATACAGCTGAACTGAGTGCCAATTACCACTAAAAAAAGTTTCAAGAAGGTAAGATATTTTGTAAAAAGGATCCATTACTGATCTGACATTGCAGGAAAGGAGAATCCACCAAACTGTGTCAGCAATTTGTTCCACAGCCCAGGCAGTAAGAAGATATTATATTTAAAATGTAATATCTAAAACTATCAAGGGGTTTCACTACTTCACAGCTTTGTAAATCTGTGTCTTTTTTTGTAAACCAATATCTAACCTTCATTATTTTTCACTAAATTCACAATGACAACATTCTCACATTCTTTATTTAGTGTAAAAACATATGAATTAGCCCAGAGACTAAATTCAGTGTCATACAATGAACTACAAATCTTCGTACAGAGTTAATTTTGTGGACGACTACTTTTCCAACTCCCACACATTTAAAAATGACTAATATTTTTAATGAAATCTCTGAGAAAAGAATTCAATGTACAACCCCAGCTTTAAGAAATGAAAATGATTTGGGAGCAAAAAGTTTGGGAACTGTTAGCATGGCCCACCAACCTGAAGCTGTGAATACCCTGGAGCTCCTGCTGCAGCACCTCCTGCGTGGTTGCAATCAGCTCCAGAGCCCCCACAAACTCCGAGGTGGAGAGCAATAGCTGCACAGTGGGCTGAGTCTGGTGCACAGTGGCCATAAGCTTCATCTTGTTGTAAAGCTTGACGCAGTTGTTGCGCGTCAGCGCCTGTCTCAGTATGTGCAGGGACCCCTCACACATGACCTTGTCGATCTGAGCCGTTTTCTCCCGCAGCACTTTAACAGCCTGGGAGGTTTTCCTGAGGTAGTCCTGCAGCTCATGCTGAGAGGTCATTGCGTGGAAGAAGGCTTCGGAGCGTAAGGAGATCTGGTGTGCAATATTCACCTCCACCACATCCAGGTAGTGGCTCAACTAGAAGACAAACAAGCAGGTTTTTCAAATCAAACAGCCTTGATGTGTGAAATGACTAAAGCATCGTTTACTTGCTATGAAAATATAACATTCTGCATGCCATCACATCCAGTATCAGCACTGTGGATATATGTATTACAGGTGGGTAAAACAATCTTTGGTTATTCACTTTTATGTATTGAAGTAGTACAGATTTAAAAAAAAAGAAAAATAATTTACAAATGATGCATTTCTAAAAGAATTTAGAAATGACAAGGGGCACATGACAGATCATGAGAATCATTAAGACCCAAAAAAAGATACCAGTTCAGGGAACTACAGGGTCAACCATGCCTTTAACTAAGCCCTCCAAGTGAAAGTCATAAGTTCACCTTCTCTTGAAGTAACCGTGAGGAGGCTACATCACGGCTACCCTTTCCCCCTGCACCACTGAAATGTGACCAAGGTAAAACCGCATTAAACGTTGAGGGGTCATCCAGGGCAAAGTCTGGCTTCAAGAAAATCTGTCGAGTTTAAATAACATAAGAGAATTAATTCATGGGCAACACCCTTTACCTTGAATACATTATTCGACAGAACTCTATGGTCACAAAGTGCTGTACAGTCATTTCTTACCTTGGGTACTTGCTCTAGGTCTGTCCTGGACTTATCTGTAAAAAAAATGTAATACAAAAATAAACAATTTTCAAGCTTTACAAGTACACGCATATTCTCCTACTCTAAAGACGATTAGATTGAAAGTGACAGGAGTAGGGAGAAGAGTAAAATGCCATCATACCATGGTTATTTGTAAGATTGGAGACTGCGCCAAGTTCATCCTTGGTTGGACAGATATTCTTGCATTTTTCATGGATTTTTTCTCGCTTAGAAAGCAAAACATTTAATAACGTTTACATTTGTTGATAGTTTGTGATAAATATAGAAACTGTTAAAAAATAAAGCACAGTGGTATTTGCAAATGGATTTAAAAAAATCATAGATAGCACATTTCTTCCTGATATCTATACATTTCCACACTCCTACAATTTTAATCTTAAAAGTTCTGCACTGCAGCATTACTGTAAAAAACGTTGCCAATATTGTATGAGGATAAGAACCAAAGTATTCAAACTTCTTCAAACTCTGACATTATGCTGCCACACTATTTTATGGAAAGGAGCATTAAGTACTCATCAGCAGCCTGTCTAACTGCATTAACACTGGAGAATACCTGCGTGGTCTCTTGAAGGTAGGATGCAAAGTGTTCCTTTGTGATATTTGGGAGGTAGAAGGAAGGCATAACTTCAGTTTCCACGAAGTCCAGACCCCATGTTTTTGTGAAGAAGTCCGATTCCCTTTTAGCCAGCCGCGGATCATTTAATGCCGCCGGAAGATTGACTTTTGAGTTATAAACAGTCCACCTGTGTTGATCAGCTACAACAGATGGGCCATCACAGACGCTGCGCACACCCCCTGTAAAGTCACATGGGGAAGGAAAAAAAAATTCCGAAAGTGGATCAGCCTTGGAAGGGTGCTGACAGCACTGATATAAAGTCCAGATCGAGACAAGGTGAGCCCCCATCTCATCAGTGCAAAATATATTCAAAAGCATTTTTTATGGGATGCATAGAAGGTAACTGAGTAATTACTTTGGCTAAGAGTCTCTTAACACACAATGTTTACATACAATGATGGTGTTTAATTGGTGATCTTTATTCTAAATCAAAGGTTTGAATACAAAAAGAACACATTATATGAACTGATAACACAGTATAAGAACAAAGTAATTACACATGACAATGCCCCAGCTTGAACATATCCATTGATATCTGCTATCCTACCTGTGGGCTCCTTTGGACAAACATCGGGTAGTGACCGGACAAGCTTATAGTGTTTTGCAGAAGAGTCCCTCTCTTTCTTAAAGACACCATCACTGCTGCTGGAATGAGGCACTGGTGAGGAACTGTGGCTTGAAGCCATTGCATAAGGACACCTCAGGAAGGAGGCGAGCTGTAACAAGAGACCAATAAGATGTTAAGCAGTTCCACTCAATCTGTAAAACACCAAACTGAAAGACAAAAATTAACATAACAGTGCTCATAACAGAAACACCCCGGGCTTATAATGTGGTTTAACATCATGAACAAAAAACTCTTTGGTGCCTGCTTAATGTATTGTCTCTAACTTTGAACAACGACAATATGAAAAAGTTCTCACTTAGCCCCTTGAATTCTCTGTTTAACAACATAGTAAAATAAATTTGCTTACATGTTTGTGATGCTGAATTCCAAAAACTCTCAATTATATATAAATTGACACATCCAAGAATTTGGACTGTTTTTTCCTCATTGGTACAGAAGTTATAATAAGACAGAAGTGAAAGTGCAACTGTTGTCACATGAGTGTGCAATGTATGGGCTTGTTCTCTACTTTCATTTTAACACTTCCACGGAGACTGGAACGGACCACAGTCTTCCAAAAGATCAAAACTAAAAAGCAAAAGCAAACATGAAAGTTGTTTCAAGGTCACATTTTAAATAAACATTACTTTTTAAATAAACACACTGATTATTTAAGTAATGTTATCAGAATGGCACCACTCTACATAAAAATGCACAGACAGAAAATATCTATTTAGCCTGAATATTAAATTATATGCAGGCAATTCATTTTAAAAATACATACGTAATGTAAACATTGTATGCAATGCAAGCTGCCTGGATGAGAGTGTCTGCTAGGCCAATAAACAATACAAAAATAACTAATAAGATCCACCAAAAGCACAAGAGTAATCCAAGAGTGCTTCCATACTGCTTTGGCAGAATGATTAGTAGGTATCAATATCTCTCCTCTTCAGCCAGCCAGCACACATGTTAGTAGATTTAGTGTTGAGGTTGTTTTCAGTAGTACCTAGCTAAGAAGCTAGATCACGGCTCTGAGGTGATGAAAACTATCTACCAAATCAACTTACGACATCTCCATCTGATTTCACATCATAAACTGGTAAGGCGCTAACAAATATAAAATATTGTGAAAATATTTGACAGTTCCCAGAATGATTTGTTTTCCACAAAAGGTAACTATAAGGTTGTTAGGAAAATATTCAAAAAGACCTCCCTGAAATTCTTATAAGACAACACTTCTCTTTTTCCCCAATCATATAGAACGGAGAGGTCTCTATCACATCACTCATCATTCATATGTTAATACTGCCTTTCCTTCATGCTGTGATGTTAATATTGTATAACAAAAAGTTAACTACAATTACAGTAAATGTATATTTACAATTATTATGCCACTTTCCAAATAATATAAATGTATGGTATTAGTAAAGATATCTCCTACAGAAGCAGCTCTGTATTCTCTGCTGTCTTGTGCAAGACTGCACCGAAAAACCACCACCAATGTAGTAAAAAGCAAATTCAGGAATGCTGCAAAAACCCAATTGAATTTGTACTGTAACATTCTGAACTGAAACATCACTCAGGCTTTCAGATAGTATTAGTAGTAAAGTATGATTAAGTGCACAGTACATATGTTTAACTGCATCAAAGGCCATCCAAAAAATTAGACCCGTTTCAAATTGTACAACAAAATACTTTTTTCAATTAATTGTTTTTTGTTAAAAAAAGAACTAAGCATCATAATACTAGAGATGGATACAATTCTAGAACAGGCACATTAGTTGTACTAACAACAGCACTAATGAGAATTGAATCTTGACCTCTTCTGTTTTAAGGCAGGAGTAAGATCTGTGAGAAAAGGTAGTGGTTTTCTGGTAGGTGGCAGGTAGGAGGTGGTGGAGTGATTGAGACAGAAGTTCAGAATACTATGCTCTTGTAATTTGTCATCGGAAACTCCCTTCCATTTTATCAAGAATTAAAAGAACAAAATTCTTGGAAGGCAACTGTTTTTGTTGTTTTTTTTAGCAGATTTTCTGAGCATGTGTAGAGAAAAGAGTCTGAGTGGGATATGAAGGGCTGGCCTACTAAGAGCAAGTACAAAATAAGGAAATGCACATCTCGTCTGAAACCTAGGTCTGTCATGGTTTGGTCCAACTAGCTCCACAGACCTGCTTTAATTTTCACATCCCTATTTAACTACTCAGTTATCATATCCAGGAACCCTTCTATCCAATGGTACTGTATCACCATTTGTAATCTTTCGAATGTTGCACCCATAATGACACCCAGACCAAGCATAATATTCAAATTCTCTATAGAAAGGTAAAGGTCTATACACAGAGAAGGCGGGGTATCCTTATAACCACTCTCGGACACAATTACTGCTTACTAAACATTAAAGACTGCAGTTAAACATGCAGTATAAGTCATAACCTAATGTGGCTCACACATCATCTCTGATACAGGGACACCGCTGACCAGCAGAGTAAGCACACACACAAAAAAAGATCGCATATAAAATAATGTGAATGTGATCTACAGCATAATTCCAGTACTTCTTTTAGGTTTAGAATCCATTTATAGTTTGCAAATGACTGTATCAATATTCAATTAAAAAACCTGCACCTCCGCTTGTGGTGCTGTAGCACACGTCGTGAAAGTCTGAAATATTTACACCTTGATGGAAAAAGAACCTGATTTGTCTGAACACGCAGATATATCTCTCTGAACAGGTTACTACTGCTTTATGAGAGCTTACTTGCTAAAAAAAGCCGAGAAAACATTTCATTTTCCATAAAACGTTTGCCATCTGGTGCTCTGGATATTTCGCCAGCCGCGTACACAAGCCGAACTGAGAAACCCCCTCGCCGCTACCGGCGACCCGTACCCGTGCACTCGAGTCCCAAACTAAATCACGAAATACTGAAGGAACTGGGGGCTCCATCACTGTCGCGTCGCCACGACTTTGCGACAGGCTGTGGCTCGGCCAGCCCCGTTCCCCTCCTCGCAGGGGGATCGCTCTCTCTCCGGACATGTTAGACGCCGAGCTCCATTCATACAATCCGCTCAAGCACAACCCGCCCAGGTACAGTACAGTACACCTGGCTGAGGCCTAGCTTCCTGCCAGCTGGATATTCCTGTATTTACACGTAGTAAAGCCTCCGCTGCCGAGACCACTGGAGAGGGACTGGCGTCTGACAGCCTTCATGTATTCCAGCACCGCTTGCCACTGGCGCAGAATTACGCTCAGAGCCTGCTTAACCAGATAGTAAACTCTCGTACGGGTACCTGTCGTATGAAACACAGCAGCTCCAAACTCCGCAAACCCCCCTGTCCACCATCACAGTCATCAGACAACAACAAGGCGACAGCCGGCACCGTGCCCACAATGCACCGCGCGGGGGCGGGGGCGGGGGCCGGGCCTGCCTCTTCCAGTGTCAGAGCGAGCGGAGGGCACGCCGTGGTTCCCAAATCCTTCTGTTTGGTGAACCTTGGAAGAAGGCTTGTTTGACAACCGAGCCCTCCTGTTCAAAATCAAAGATGTCTTATTTCAAGCCGTTGGTATTAACAATGAAATATTAAAAGGTGGCGTGAAATCCACTGGAACTTAAATTCAGTTACTATTGTTTAATATAACGAATTGCACAGGGATTTCATCTTAGGAGTACTAACTTCCAATGATTAAATAACTGTTTCAAACCTCCAGTTTCGGAACTCTTAATTTAGATTGTTTTTATTAGCGTTATCATCTTCGTGTATCATGAAAAACCAAAACCTGTAGGTACCCTAGTTCCCTTGTAGACTAAGCCATTGCAATTAAAGTAAAAGTGATAACTGAGTCTTAGACTTTAAATGAAGTGTTTTCTGATCTGTATCTGGTGAGCCCCTGGAATATGTCTTTGGTTCTCAGAACCAGCTTCAATAAATGTAGGTTTAATATAGTTGGGCAAAGGGTTTTCAAGACATTCTGTCAAGGAAAACTCTCTCAACAAAGACACCCACTTTAAAACGTTGAAAAAAAAACACCAAAATAACATAGGATTGTGCAGGTATTGACTTTACATTCACTTGTGTTTAGATAAGCCCATTTCAAAGTTGTTTCTATGGATATGTCTGGAAAGTCTCAGAGTTCCTCAAGTCTGAGCCGAGGCACCTCTGGAACAGTGTATGTGTATCAGTTTAGTGTTTAGTTTGACATAATTATTGTATGTAAACAAACAGCTTCATTACACAACATTTGTGAAAGGGTGGCTGCCATAAAGCAAGAAAATTGAGAAAAAAATGCAGACTGCTTTATTTTTGTGTAAAGCAATCAAAACCTCTAGAAGGTATGGCTAGCTGACCTATAGTCTTGTATTTAAATATCACTGCCATAAGTGGCTCAATATAATAATGTATTTGCCAAACTATTTGTAATTCCCACCAAAAGACATTTAGTCCACTGCAAATTGGCCTACGTTTTTGCATGGTTTTGCTTACCGTGTCTTCTAGTAGGATTTCAATCAGTGGAGGTTGTGTAAGGGACAGAACAGTTTCTCTTCTGCAGGACTGAAATCTGAGGAGTGCTCTGTCCAGAGAAGGCGAGGAGCTCCATCTTGTTCTCCTCGAGAGAACTATGCAGCACCTGCCAGTCTGAATGTCTCTACATTTGAAAGGGGGTTCCTGTTTCTGTCAGTATGGATAGTCTGTTGCACATAAAGATCCATTTGTGCAACAGCATTAGGAGCAAAAGTAAATGTTTCTGCTCTTTCCAATATTACATCCTATTCTTGTTCTTCTTTTGTGGACGGCAAATCTTAACATGAAAGCAGTGAACCGAATATAGATCATATTCTTGTTTCATTTGGTAGTCACCCTTTGAATTAAATAGGGTGAAAAGAATACAAAAATATTGTCCAATCTCCCCCACAGGGTGGCAGTATGTAACAGGATTTCTGCAGTGAAACAAGTACTGTGCAGGTCAGATTGCCCCAAAAACTCAATGATTTGATTGTGCATTCTGAAGCTCAACAGGACTTTCAGACATATTCGTTGTCAAATCTGGCTCCCTGACTCAAAATGGTGGAGGAGCACTGTTAAAAATGAACTGGATTATCAACCATTACCCATGCTGAAGGACTGTTCTACATGCACTGTCTCTGTGCTAGAAGCTAGGAGACAGCATGTGCATGGAAGTGAGTAATAGAGTCCCCCCCATGCAACCAACTAAAATATCTCGAGACACATATGAACCTCGTCTGGGAAAATTTGATGCTAACACAGTCTGTTGCTAAGTAGATGGTCCTTATTCTTTGGAGCTGGTATATTACCATAGATTTATTGGACAGGACAGAGTGCAACCTGAGAGATGTGTGGAAACATTACACCAAGGCACACTCCCCTCTCCAGTTCCAACTGTGGGGCCCAGGCCAGAGAAAGAGGCTGTTCAGCAGTTAGTTGCACTGTAGCCCTGGGGATACTCTCCGCAGCTTACACCCACCGAGGACTGTTGTTATGATGCGACAATGGCAGTGGGTCGTGCTGCCTTTTGTTCTTTTACAAGAATTCGATTCGAGCTTCATGCGGGGGAAATTTGTTTTGCGGAGCAGTAAAAATACAACAAGGACAGGAAACATTGCCAACAAAGAAGATAGAATAATAGAGTTATCGGAGCTAAAAGAATTATATGACATTGTTTGAGCAGCAGTAGGGATGAAAAAAATTCCAGAGTCTGTTACTTTTACACCTTGAAACATATTTGATGGGAGTAGTGTAAATTAATAATGGACAGGGTGAGACTCTTTAGAGCCCTCTGTTAGTAGAGGATATTTAAGTTGACTTGATCTGAGAAAGACGGCAGACATCAATATGCTGATAGACACTGTAGACTGACTGCTTGTTTAAATACAGGAAGATGGCTCACTTTTTCATGTGCTCTGAACTCCTGCCTGCTGTGGCACTCATAGATGCATTAAACCACATATGAGCACAAGGTACTGTAGGAAGATGGGGAAAAAAAAGCACCAGGTTAATTAATTTGCTGCGTCAGCATGCGTAGGCTGCAAAAGAACAAGTAAAGGTTTATTCCATGCTGAAAAGAGAAGAAAAGAAATGAAATGTTTTGGCTGTGAAGCCTTCACACCGCACACCTGAAGAAGACTCCACAGCCAAAATGCTGTTTCTTTTCTTCTCTTTTCAGCTTGGAACAAACCTATGATTGCAAGATGCTCATTTTGGTAGCACAAAAAACAATCCTGTGAGGTTAAACATATTTCAGTCATTAGAGTTGTGGGGTTAAAACAAACACGAGGGAAAAGCCATTCAGACCATTTCGCTTGTTTGGTTGATGATGGCGTATTGATCCAAGGATGCAGTTCACTTGTTTCTTGAAGGAAGGTGGGTCACATCTTCAGCAACAGGGCAGGCTTGCAGAATCTTACAGCACTTTCTGCAATCCACTGGTTTTTGGTCTTTCCCTTCGCGTCCAGTTGTGCCCATGGGTTCATGTTTCATTGCTGATCCTGAAGAAGTCCATCAGTCAATATCTTTTGAGGATTCTGACCACGTGAATCAAGTCCACCTTGGAAATAGTCTTCCTTGCTCAACACTAAAGAGATTCAGTAATTGTCACCTCCTAAAGTAAGAATTTTTCAACCCCACAAAATACCTGGCTGAGATGCTGTAATACAGGTATATCTTTCTGTGACACTGGTTATCTTCTGACTAGAATTAATTTGGCAAAGTATGGATAACACTCAACTGTGCAGTAAAAAAGACAGACCAGGGAGACTGACATATTATGCATATCTATGTACACACACACTCTTCAAACTTGTTAAAATTTTATTGTTTAAAGTTGGTACAAAACTGTACTTTGCAACAGTTTGCCTTAAAGCATCAGGGAAATTCAGAGCACAGTGGAACAGAAATTGAAGTAATGCTTAGGGACAGAACATGCACAGTATATTGAAAGTTAAAAGCCCTTACTTGTGTTTGTACCAAGTCACGGTTCCTTTAAAAGGTTCGTAGCATAGCTTAATTTCATTATTTAATACTGGATCAAGACAAGACAAAAAGAAAAGAAAAAAAGGAAAGAAAAAACACAGAAACCTGCAGATGAGGCAGCTCTGTCATCTGGTTTCTGATAAAAACCTTGCTGTTTTGAAATGACAGACTTATTCAGAGCACTAGTGACCAGACTGTGGCTTCTCCCTGAGATGTGATTAATGCTGCTTTCAGACCTCCTGTCACATACAGTGGGTGACAACCTCCTTAAGCAAACATACAGAAAAAAACACAGGACATCTACGATAGGCACACAGCTTGGAAAAAGGAAATAAAACACCAATTAATGAACAGTACAAGATTTAAAATTCTCCTGTTCAGGAAAAGTCTCATTGTAGCCACGACAGCAGAAATCCCGAAAATCCCTCTTTTTTTTTTTTTGAATGCTTCAAAAAAAAACTCAGGAACCAAATAAAATCCAGCTTCAGTGAACACTAACCAATATACATTTGAATATTTTATGATTCAGTGTTGTAAACTGTTTAAAGGCTCTGTGCGTCATTTCAAAGATATCTCAATATATCTATCAGGTGTGACCACCTCTGGTCCTGGAAATTGATTTTCATTCCAAAATTAGAGAGTTGGAACCCACAGCTGGTGGTGGAATTAACAGGACTGATTTCCTAGCTTCTCCAGCTCTTCAGGCCCTGCTGCTTTAAAGAGAGCTGGAAAACCTGCAGACACACCAACCCTGCAGGACCAAGACTCCACACCCCTGGAATATATAGTAGCATTGTCCTAACATATGACTAACACAGACAGTTAAAACGGTCACTAACCATCCCAGAGTCTTTTACTCTTGCTACGAATTTTATGAATCAGAGTTTTCAAGTAATACGTGGGCCCTGCAGATCTGCCCTGTGAATTTAATACAATTGGTTATTGGCAGTGACAGTTTTAAAAGTGGAATAGGACGGAGCTGGCCTGAGTTTGTGATTGCTGACACAAAGGGCCACATTCAGAAATGGAAACTGTTTGATTGCAGCTGTACTAGAAAGGCAGAAATTAAGTCAGCGGGGGCTTTTTCGAGAAAGAATTTCAATTTCTGTACAGCTGGCATTACATAAAGGTCCTTTCTGGTACCTTTATGCTTTGAAGTTAATATATTCATGGTAATGCCTTAGAAAAAATATTTGCACACTGCTAATGACTGAAGTGTAAATTTTATGAAGTATCACCAGGTAACATAAGATGATCAAAAAGATCCTCTTGGAACCCCAACAGATGGTAACAAAACAAATACATGTTAGCTAATCCCAAAACTCAATCTACCTTTGTACAGATTAACATTTATATTTAAATTATAAAAGTTACTAATATTAAAGTTAAGCATATTACACAATATAGTGATTTATTAAGAAAGATGGATGTAAATTGCTCTCTATAAACTAATATAGTTTGCATCTCAGAGTGGTATTTTTATTAAGTATAAATAAATCTGTTTTTGTGTTCTTTTCATATTTGGGAAAAGGGGAATAAACCCCCACACAGAACTGTGAATGACATATAAAAGGACATAATGTCAATTACAACCCCATCAACTGTGTTACTTTAGAAATAAGATATTACTTACCTAGAAATAAAAGCAAACCTTTCACCCAAGCTGTTCTATGTCTGTATGTGGTGGGGGTCAGAATGATGAATAGAAACTGATTTTTTTTTGTCTGGTTTTTGTTCTCGTAAATATGAAACCGCACTCACTAGAAAGGTCACTTAAAAAAGTTCCAAAAATCTCAAAAAAGGAAAAAAAACAAAAACAAAACTAGCTTATTTTGCATCATAAGCTCAGCTGGATAAGACACCTTACTAGTCCTGGCAGAGGCCTAGTCCACAGGTCCTTGGAATATAAGTCTAATGTAGCCTTGCTCCCCGCTCAGCTGCTGTGCGCAGAAAGGGCAGGCCGCATGGAAAGTGTGAGTGCCGTGTGGGAGGGGGATCTGGGACCAGTAGGCCACTGTCTTTTCAGAGCACACGTGGCCACAGGGGCTGAAGGCGTGAGTCGGGGGCCCGGCGTCCACATAGAAGCCCGCCTCGCAGCCCAGCCACAGGGGCACGTAGGGGCCCCGCGCGCGGCACATGGGGCACTCCCGGTCTTTGCCGTCGCGCTCCTCCTTGTTGCCCCAGTTGTGGTAACCGTGGACGTGGCCGCAGCTGAGGTAGACCCAGGGCTGCTTCTCGTCCACCACCTCCTTCCTCCTCATGCTGGGGAAGGCCAGCGTGTTGAAGCCCACGGGGCACTGGGGCCGCGCCGCGTTGATCTCCTGCCGCAGGGCCTCCAGGTGCTTGAGGGTGGGCGTGCGGGCCAGCCCCTCCGCCGTGCGCCACAGCAGCGTGGCGCCGCACAGGTCGACCAGCGAGCCGTCCACCAGCTCGTGGGTTTCGTTCTCCACCTGCCGCAGAGGAAATAATAATAATTCGAATTAATAGCTTACACTTATATAGCGCTTTTCTGGACACTCTACTCAAATCGCTTTACAGGTAATGGGGACTCCCCTCCACCACCACCAATGTGCAGCATCCACCACGTAGTCAGCCGCGCTGAAGCTGTCTGCTTTCAGTATATCCAGTTCTGCTTTGGAGATGGGGGACTCAAGTACAAACTCTTTATAAGATAGATAAGATAAGATCACTTTGTTGGCCATATACAGTTTCTTGTATTAGGAATTTGTCTTTTCGCATATCCCAACTTCCTCTCTAGGAGACACACAGAAAGGGAGAGAAGCTTGGGGTCAGAGTGCAGGGTCAGGCTTTTATACGGCGCCCCTGGAGCAGCTGGGGTTAAGGGCCTTGCTCAGGGGCCCAATGGAGTAGGATTGCGGGATACGAGCTGGCAACCTTCCTGCCACAGGCGCAGATCCTTAGCCACAGAGCCACTGCCCTCACTCTTTGCTTCGCTTTAATTAAAAGAACCATTTCTTTCCACTTCTAGCGGAGAGAACGGGTGGCAAAGTGAGGCCCATGCTGTACCAGCGAGAAGCACAGTCACGCTTCTATTCCTCATATTAGGTCTGTTTTTGTAGCATATGTGCGAGTGGGCGTGTAGTAGGGTGAGACAAAAATATTTCATCTAAAAAAAATATGAAAAAAAAAACTTTGGTGTTCACGGAACCCAAGGAAGCAAGATATCTGCCTCCTAGAATAGCTCTCAATTTAAAACAAAAATGTGAGCAGCGAACCACGTATTCAGAATACTGTACTGAGATTTCAACAAGGCAATAGGCCAAAGAGATGACACCTCAGTGCTATTAACACTAAAAATAACACTTTGTAGGTAGTTTCATTTCAAAACACCCTCAACTTGTTTTAACCGATTATTTAAGAATAATTTATGGAACGGAGACAGTGCGGACAGCCGGACAGGACACTAGCACTATCCCAGCGTGAGCTGATCGGCTTATCGGTTAGGTCGTTTCTTTAGAGGAAATTGCACCCAAATGCTCAGAATGTATCACTGGTGTGCCTTGTCCCATTTCACCTGGCAAACCCAGCAGATTTTAGCACAGCTAAAAAGGGAGAGAAAAAAAATCGAAGCAAAAAGACCCGGCACATATTGAAGATAAGAAAGATACCCAAACTAACAGCTCAGACAGTAGTGACATCCACCAATCTTCAATACTACTGTATATACATTTAGATTCTTGTTAAGTGCAGATGAACAATATTACACTCTCTTAACATTGTTATATAGTAGACATTAGCTGGATAGAGTAATAATACCTGCAAGAAAATACTATGAGACATTTAGGACTTTTGTTGCTTAGACAAGAAATGTTGGGTACTTTCATTCTTCTGGTCATTCTTAGACATAGGGAGAGACTGGGACTAGACTATGGAGACAGACAGGAGGTCCACCTGGCTCCAGAGACCTGAACATTGTGCACAGCTCCAATTATAAAAGGGATAGGCGGCCCTGGCCCTCCACAGCCACAGGATCTTTTCCGATTTTCATTTCACTTAAGTTCTGATCTACTTAGCTGAACAGATAATCCGCAAAACTAAAATCAATTAAATACTTTCCTACTTTCAGGCAGGTAGAAATTTAAAAAAGTAACATGAAAGCTGGACTGCAGTGAAATAGCACTCTGGATAGTGTAGCTAATGTAATCCAGAATAGAATCCAGATCAGAACTCAATTAACCCTACCCTTTATGGCTCATTTCATTTCAATTCTGTTTCTCCTGTTCGGTTTGATATGCTGCTGCTATCTTTGATCTGTGTGTCAAATCGCCACTCTTCTGCTGTGCTCTTCAGTATCGCACTACAGTTTATTAACATTTCAGGTTTCCATCTGAGTGGTAGAGCAGACTGTATTATTCATGAAATATTACTTCCCTGAACTGAACACCACTGCTTATATTAAGATGAATCACACACAATTTCACAGGACAAAAGTACATGGGACAGGATATCAGAAAACCTGGAAAAAGTTTCATCTCCATATTTTCAGGAGAAAGGTAAAAATGTTATTTTTTTAATTCTACATGATTCATTTATAGCAACTGGACATACAATTAAACATATGCTAGAATATTCCAATTAAGAATCAAGGCACAAACCTCTGATTATCATAAGACACATGAAATATAATGGCACAGAATGTAACAGAAATCTTAACTCAGGCAGTAGTGATGATAAGGGATATTTAATACTCTGTATAAGTGCTGTATTAATCAAAAATGTCTGAAATAAAATACTGATTGTATTTAAGAAATTAATTTGATAATTAAAACTATTCTTTGAGTTAGCACATTGCAAAGTAAATACTGCTTTTAGAATGGGTGCTAAATTATTTTTGCCTTAACTACAAAATTCTTCACATTGATGCAAACAATTCTGTGGATTCCATCCTTTCGGCATAATCTACGTAAAACAAAAATAAAAATGCTTAATTATGGTAATTCAAGCAAACCTTTGTTTATCTGCACTTGCATCCAGAAAAATACTCAAATTTGGATAAAACAAGAAGATTAAAACAGAAATGAGGAAGTCTCTCTACAAGTAAACAAACAAGCCCCCTGATAATTCTTTAATGGATGGGTTGATAGCACAATTTCAAAGATGGACAATTCCTTATGTTTGTATACAGAAATACCAAACTTTTCCAATAGATGGCGAACAAAACCTTAATAGTACAGTACATGTTCCTGATAACTGCTGTGTCAGGCGGTGAAAGGCATTTAAAGCCACAATGATTTACACAGTCCTCTGCTCAAGCTTGATCTCCCAGTCACTGCAGCACGTTGAGAAATAAAATCTCCCTTAATTTGATTTTCCTGACACAAAATGTTGCTCCTTCCCTCTTCCAATGCGTGAAAGTTGATCAATATTCATTTCTTAAAAACACCACAAAGGGGAACATTTCATTTCAGAAGAAATAGGGTATTTCAATGCAAGTAATTATCGGCTCAGCAGAATTTCTGAGCTGCCTGCAACGTTCTAGGCTCTTTTTCAAATTAACGGATCTAAAAACTCTAAGGGGTGGCCAAGGGGTACACAGTTTTAAGGGGTACACAGCTTCCAAGAAGATTCCGATACAACCAAAGGAGCCGTCAGAAGAGCCAGAAATAGAGAGAACCGAGATATCTTCAATTCTACTGCCTCTGTTAACCTTGTAAACATCACAAGCAAAGGGCATTCAGGGTACAGCCTTCTGCACCTACTGTAACTGACCTTCAAGCTAATTCATGTATTTTCCAATCAGTTCAATTTCAATTTTACAAAACTACTTTTGTCTTTCTCTTCATGGATTCCCATAACCCGGCCGGTGAGGAACTGTTGTCAGACTGGCACTGCAGTGATGCACAGCAGGTCAGACAGAGCCTGTATTTACGTTATAACGCATTGTTCCCAATACAGAAACAGTTCAAACGAGGCCTGCGAGTCTCTGACCTCAGAGAAAAACAGAGAAAAACAAAAGCAAAGAAACAACAGATGAGAAAGTCAAGGTCACACACTTGGACTTTTACAGGGGTTAAAACTACAAAAATACAAAATATAGGGGTGAAACAGAGGTTTCACAGCAGGGTTGAAAATGTAATGTTTAACTCAGGACTGCATCCTTTTGTTTTTTTAAAAGAAATGTTTATGTAGTCCACTCTAGACTTGTTCCTCCCTAGTTTCAGATACTATTTGTTATTTGTGTGATTAATGGAAAAAGGAACAGCGCGTGGGAAAAGGGATCTGCTTTCTGCTGAGAGGACCGTGGTGACGCGAACTCCACCCCATCTGAGCTCTCTGCTACACGAAAACGGCAGACTGCTCCCACAGAATCAGCAGGAGGCTTGTATCGGACATCCCTCTACAAGCGAACAATACAGTTTATATGGAAACGTTTCATGCACCGATCCCAAGGAAAAGGAATCTAACATCACCACTCGGAAGATGTCCTGTGGCTACACAGCTCACCCTCAACAGGGTCTTGTGCTAGGTTCTCTTTTAGTTAAGGGCTTTAGATGTTATTAGATTGGAAGGCTGGACTGTACAACCTACAATTCCAGTGCTGTCCTAAACAGAATGACAAAAATATTTCAATAAAACGTCCAGGCTGAACAATACCCAAATGTAGTCTTCACTTGGACTATTGTGATCTTTGGCGAGGAGCTGCTTACATCAACTTACTAAGTGATTCATAGTAAGCGCCTTTTCTGTGACGGAACTGCAGTAACTAACTCACAGGCAGCCAGTCCTCTTTCCACGGAGAACAGGAAAGAAAACTAGACCCCATTGTGTGCAAAAACCATGGGATTCTCTAGGACAGGAACAGGGCTGTGAAGAAAACAGGAGCAAAACATAAAAACCGACTCAGTCTAAAACATCACCCAGTTATTATGCTGCTGGCTCCGAGAAAAGATAAACTGGTGGATTGTTCTGCAATTCACGTCTTAACCCATTACTGAGTGCAACCTTAAACTTCCACTTGGCAAAACTACCAATCCTTCAAAGCTTATTAAAAACATACAATTTCAAAAATTAAAATCGCACATGTGTATGAGAATCCATATGTGCACTGTTGAAGGGGGTAGTGTCTAAATGAATGATTCCAGCCATAAGAACTACAGGGCCATAAATGTTCTGCAAAAGCGAAAACAAAATCAGGAGCTTCTATTTAGAAACTTTATACTTTTTACTTTATTAACCCTGGGACATGCCGAGTCATTGACATTAATACTTCTTAACAAAAATGAAAAACACAAGTCAAACAGGCTTTTCAAGAGCAAACACAACGTTGTCATACCATTTCCATGCTTTAAGGCTGCCTGAACTCACACGTGCAACGCAAATGAAAAGGTTAAATACTTGAAGCCAAATCTGGACTTGGAATTCTTCATCTTAATAACTGTTACCATTTATACCTCCGGGTCTTTTAAAAAAACACTTCTAAAGCAACGTGGACTAAACTGGAAAAGATTGATAAAAAAATAACAAAACAAAACAAAAGTAAGAATGAAGTATAAAATCAGAATGAAAACTGGAAACGCCTGTAAGCCAAGAAGTCTCAAACTCCCCACTTGCTGGCATCATCAGGCTTTTTGTTCCAACCTGAGCAGTCAATTAAACAATTAACCCAAGTATATTTCTAGCTATATGTGTAGGATTCATCATAAGGTATTTTAAAGTGCAGTACTAAAAAATTTCACATTATTAAAAGGCATAGATGTCCATAAAAATACCCCCAAGTGTTTCACAATATTACTAATATACAGTTAAATAATGAGGAAAAACTAAGTAACACTGATGTAAATGAGAGCTCACTTTCTGGGACTGGGACTGAGTCTGGGACCTCTGCTAAACCATCATCACAGCCTTTCACAAGGTGGTGAAAGCCTTGCCTTAATGAAGTGCTAAAACCCCAAATAAAAACAGCTAAACTGCACCAGGAAAAACTGCAGTTCCCTTTATTACTTTTCAATTACGAATTTAGTGGCAGATTTAATGCAGAGGACTTTTGTCGTGTGCCTCCAGTTTAAATTCCAGGCTCTCATAAAACCAAAGCACCCCAGTGAAGACAGAAGGGCTTTTACTGGGCTCCTAGGGTGTCAGTTTCCATTCAGACTGCTGACAGTCTATACAGCCCATGTGCTTAGAGATTAACAGGACTGCTGGAAGTACCAACACAGCCTTTCTGCTGACTTCAAACAAAGGGAATGTTTCAACAACAAGAAGCCAATATCTCGACAGAAATGAGGGTATGTACAGCAAATCTTGAACAATAATTGCTACTTAAGCAGATAATCCCTCATTTGGAAGGACCTGACAGGAATTAGAGCTCTGTGTAAACAGCAGGCAGATATCTGATGCTGCCGTTCCAAGCACATTGTTTTGTAGATTTCTTTCAGGGCTTCAGTCATCAATGTGGAGTTTTATATTTTTCTTTCCAGCATTTTAACGGTGTAAAAAGTTAAAAATCAGTGAAATATTCGGTTGGAGCATTCAAGTTGCGATCAAAAATGTTCGCTTTAAGAAGCTGTGTATACTTCATTTGTAGTTTAATCAAACCGGGACGTCAGTGGAAGGGTTGGAATAGTTTTGAACGGCATAGTAAAGGGTGAAACCAAGTCTTAACAGCTCAGGTACTCTTCACCCAGGCACAGGCTGCACTTCGGCAAGGTGGGGGAAATCCCAAACACGATGCGCGTCTAGAAAAGCCCCGACACTTAACTTTCAAGCAATTCTCTCTTTCCTGGGTCCATCAGGTTTGAAAAATAGGTGTCGGAACAAAAGCCCTGAGTCACGTGTGGCACTGTGGGCACGGCGTCTAAGACGCAACACCCCCTCTTCACCCGCCACCCTTTCATTCTCCCCCTCGGCGCGTGGGGATTTACAACTCAGCGTCTCCTCCACGCGGAACTCCGTGGGCAGCCGGCGCCTACCATTTTGCCTCTCTGTTGCGCCGATCTGGTCTCCCGCAGGGTGAAGACGTTTCCACAGACAGAGATCTCTCTCCACACCCCTGGCTTGGAGTCCTCGCTGAAGCCGTTGCGCGGGTGCATGACAAGGACTCCGTTTGTAGTGAGGCCGTCCATCTGACCGTCTGACATCTTCCACTTGGCGGCCTTTTCCTGCCAGGAAAAACAAGCCGTCGTAAAAGGGCGCCATTGATCCGGGGCCGTGCCTGGGGCCTTCGTTTCTCCCCCCTCCCTCCCTACATAAACAAACGGCCACCTGTGAACCAGGCTCTCAGTCGACTTACTCCGAGGAAAATGTTCTTGGATGAGTCAAAGCCGGCGGCGTAGATCCTGGCGGTGTAGGGGGGGTTCCTCTCGCACATGATCCGGCAGGCGAACCTGGAGATGGTGCTCTGAACGGACTGCGTGTCGGAATTACTCTGGCTGCCAGGGATCGTGTCCGTCACGACGAAGTCAATGGGGCTCTCGGTCGACCGTCCAATCTGGTGCCGGGGCGAAACGACAGAAGCGAGAGTTACGAGAGAGAGAACGCTGAAGGGCCCTTCTGTCTTAGAGTATCACACATGGAGAAAACAGGTCCTTGCAGAAAGCACCTGTGAATAATTCCTGGACTCCCGCACAGCTTGACTCCTCTAAGTCAAAGGGCAGAGCGCTTAGAAGTAGACTTGGATTAAATATCTGAGGTCCTATGTAGTCCACAGTCTCAGAGAAGTACTTTTTTCTGTACCGAGGTAAAATTCTGCATTGGTATGTCAGACGTGAAGGCCTTGCCATCGGCGGAAGTGTGATGGAGACTCGGCATGTGCCAGCCCCTCAATGGGAGGACTGAGGAGCCCTTCACTGAGATCAGCAGCTGCACCACGAAACAGTACGGGGCTCGTGTCCGAGAGGAGCAAAGCAGCAGGAGGGGGGGCAGTCAGCAGCTCTCTGTTACGCTCTGTGGAAAGGGGGTTCATGCATTCCAGCACACAACCACCCCCTCTTCTCACTATCACAGGGCACTTTTCTAAGGGGGCTTTTAATTAAGTGCAACTGGACAACGAGCGTGTCACTCTCACATTTCAATCAAAACAAGCACTTCCATTTTGCAGTAAGTGTAAAGAGAAATATGATCTATAAAACCTGGAAATAGAAATGAAATTTGTTGCGTGTGCACATCAGATAGCGTTGACCTTTGAGCTCTAAATTGCAGTTGATCAAAGCACAAACCAGAGCTACTCAATACCTACAGACAACCACCGAGATGAAACTATAAGATAGTATGGAAACTGCTGAAGATGTCAACCACATGAGCTATTTCAGCCTACCTGAAACATGTCTGTATTGCTGTCGTGTGTGTATTCTACCACCACTGTCTGTGCTCGAGAGAGAGTGTAAGAGATACTGTGCTGGTCCTTGTTGCTTATTGCCTGGAAAGAAAAGAACAGGGTATTTAAAAGAGAAAAACAATAGGATTTCTGTCATTTTGACAACGTGGAAACAAGAATGAAACCTGATCACATCTGAGGAAAACCCCAGTCTTGAAAAGCTGAAAAATGCACCTTCCAGTTCTAAATGCTTTCAGTACTAATATCAGCAAACCCACTCCTGAGAACAGGGCTAAATCACAGCCAGCTGGATACTGTCATTAGAAATTACAACACTTGCCACTTTTGCATCTGGAAAAGATACAAAAGAGGCATTCATCTGTTAAACTTTGTCCAGATGTGTGAAAAGACACTTGCTTTAACTTGTTCACAGCACAGCATCATGATGGATGGAAATTTCATAAGCATCCCACATTCTTAGTTTCGGTACACAATGACAAAGAAACTTCCTGTTTGCTTCAGCTATTTTTTTCTACCGAAAAAAAAAAGCAAAAATAGGTGTCCAAAAAACAGCATTTCAAGCTCTGGTGATCTTTGATCTTTCATTTTTCTCTTAAACGTTACCCATTAAAAAAACCACATTTAAAAGATTTTGGCATCATTTTTCATCTGCCTCTGGCCAAGTGTCTGAAATTGCAGTCCCCTCTTTACGAGTACAATTCTGTATCTGCACTAGTGGGGGATTTTATAAGACTACATGAAGGACCAAATAGTAAATTGATCCAGTTTCAATTTGTCTGCACTCCTTCAATTTGCTCTTTCTTCAGAAAGAAAGGTCACAGTAATCTTTTTTAAAAGCAAACAGAGCTGCTGAAATGGGCTTCAACTGCTGGAGAGGTAGCTGCCATATTAACCCCGAAAACATAAAGCAGCAAATCCGCAATTAGAAGAAGAAAAGTACAAATAAACCAGCACACTTATTCGATATTTTCATTTTGCGGGCCTTCTTCACCTGTCTATAAGCGTTTCCTCTCTGGAGAGAAGAAGTGCTATTTTCTCAGCAACCCTGAGGAGAGGATGGCGTTTTTGGGAGGCGGAACAGGGTGAACGTCCCCAGGCCCTACCTTGGCTGCCTGAGGGGTGCAGGCAACATGCACTGTGCTCGGCTTCACCCCGTTGGCCTTTGGTCTCTTGCATAAAGCAAAGCGGCTTTTACGTCTCCCACGGTCTCCATTGGGGAGGGAGCCATTGTATCTGGAAGGAAATAAAAAAAATATATATTTCCAAATTCAGAAAGAGAAGTGCAAAACAAATAAGAGCACAGCTGCATGGCAAGACCTACAAAAAAGGGAAAATTCATCAACACATATGCAGCAGACAATGGTTCTTAACACTAGTGTCAGCCTTTGACAAAGCCAAAACCAGTTACACATACTGTATACAGAACAGCAGCCTGAGAGATGAGTAATCGGAAGGCTATGCTGTGTTAAAGACATATGCTAAAACATTTGCCACCAGATTGGTTTTCTATAGATTTCATAATGATGTGCATCTGTGCTGCCTTAAGTCTATTCCACACAGGGGAAGAGCATGTGGAGGAGTGTCGAAATCTTTTTTGGGAAGAACAAACAGAACCAAAATTAGCAGTACGGAATAATGGCTGGATCATACGGCAAACAGCAAGAGGGATACGTCCTGGACAATAGGTCCTTTCAAAATCGAGCAACAGGTCCTCCTTTGTTTACACTCAAAGCTTCCATGAAATGCTGTGAAATCCTCTTATGCTAAACCAGCTGCCTCGAGGTTTTCTTAAATTAATGTCTTCAAACCAGGCCCAGCTCATCAACTCATAAACAAGCGTGAGCGATCGGGATTTCTGGGCTTTCGGCCTCACGCCCAAACGAGGTATTTGAAGCAAGGCCAGAGGGGCGAGGCAGGGCGCGCTGAAGGCGAAATGCCCCGAGTGTGAGGCAGACACGCCCCGTTTCAGAACGGCCTTGGAGACACACGGCCCCGCCCTCGTTAGTGAGCTGCAGGTGGTTCTGCAACATGAGGTCTCCCCCTAGGCAGGTTAACTGAGCCGCCAGGCCTTAACCATGTTTTTATTTTGCAGCAGTAAATGTTTTTGGGAAGTTCAAGCCTCCGCCGCCCCTGCTACAGCACAGCTCATTGTCCTGCCCTGCCCTCGTCTCATCAGGGACACGACTGCCAGCTGTATCCTCTGCCACCAAAGACAATGCGTCGCCCTGAACTCCTGTCCCTGCCCTTCCCTGACCCCCACACCGGAGTCGGACCGCTCCAGTTTCCCCTCCTGCAAGTCAGCCCAAACGGTATTCTAGCAAGTCCGGTTTCCTTTCCGGAATTATCAAAGCATGTGGATCATGCCTCACGCAATTTCTCTCTGTACGGCTTCAGTGCATCAACTCCAATAGTCGGAACATCCGCGCCAAAGGAAAACAGCGGAAACTTTTCCCTCTCCCCGTCTCCACTCTGCATGACCCCCTAGCTGCCAAGACCAGTGCACCGGGTGCTATGCTTCTTCAACACTGTATATAGTACTTGACATTAAAAGTTTTGTCTGTAGCAGCTCCTTCAATATTCCCCTAAGGTGCCCTAACATTAATTGAGTGAAGGCTATACGCAACAAGGTTTTGGGGTTTATTCAAGCTAAAGAAAAGCTGCCAGGGGGAAAAGCAGACATTGTGTTCATTACTGTTTGCTGATGCTAGCGGGTGAAACACAATGACAGCAGTGAAAGATCAACCAAAAGAGAGACCGTAGACTCTCCGATTGCAGACCTGGTCAGACTGGGTATTTTACAGTACGCGTTCAAGATCTTAAATATTCCGGCGTCTCCTGTAGCCAAGGATACTTCATTGCCATTGTTGTGCTTAGCCTCTAGTTAGCTCATTAACAAGATAAAAAGAAACTGATAAAAGGCAAGCAGGAGGAAGTGTGTGTTGGCAGGACCCACAGGCTACATTTGCGAGTCTGTGATCTTGAGAGTTCATGTAGTGTAGGCTGCTCTAACAAGACATCTTGGTGCATTACATGTACAATTAGTCCTTCGCTATCGAATTTGTGTGCTACAAATGAAGTCGCTAACAAAAAGAAAATACTCCCTTGGTGTACCCTCTGAATGTATTTGGCAAATAAAAGATTTACTGTATATTCTGACATGTAAAAAAGCATGCTGTTGCTGTTCTGCATTATGAGACTAAATTCAATGACATCACTTAATTTAATCACAAGGGATAGCGACACTGTGATACACAAAGGTTTGTTGAAGAGGCCTTTAGCAGCCATGCATCAAAATGACGAACTGAGCTGCTGAAACCAAAGCCTGTGAATATTCAAGTTTGTTTTGACACTCATGACAATGTCTTTGGAAAAAGAGGACTCTCAAAAGATAATATTTCTTTTGCAAGTATAAATATTTTACCATTTCAGATTGCCACTCTCTGCTGGGTTTACAGAAGAGGGGGGTCATGTTCAGAAGGGAACTTCTGTCCTGTTTTGAAATGTTTTTCCCGAGTTCCCTTTTGACACTGCAACAGTACAGGACAACTGATGAACTGAATAGCTCTCCACCTCCACTCCACTGAACCTGGAAGGCAGGAGGACCTTGAGTTGCTCATCTAGTCCAAGAGTCCCCTCTGAAATTAATTTTGCAAGTTTCTTCTTTATGTCTACAATTCATGTGTCACTGCACATCGTCCATGGACATAATCATGACCTTCAATAAGCAGAAAATTAAAAAGGACAGTACCACACCTACTCAAGTCGTGTGCCCCAGGCACGCATTAAGCTTTGGCCTGGACATCTCATGTGTGGTCAGGATACTGTCACCAGCCGACTTGGAGCACAACTGGCAGAGCTCCACCAGGACAGTGTTGGAAATGTCATTAAGCAGGCCTCTCAAAGAGCACCTGAAGTTCCCAAGACCTGTCGGGTATCTGCAGACTCGCACTCATGTTAAAATTTACTTCAAACGATCTTGAAACTACTCAATTGACCAAATCACCTGCTCAAGTGGTCAAAATGTGTCATTCTTCCAGGTAGTCCATTAAACCCACTGGACTGTGGCTCACCTGCCGTGGATCTAGAGATTCCTATTCTGCCCCAAAGAACCCTCTTCTCCCTTGATGTTACTCAAGGCCATAACTGATCTCAGTTACCGGCAAAAACAAATATACAATTATGCAAAAAAAAAAAACTTTGTTTAAAACCTTTAAATAAACTGGAAGATTTCTAAGATGTTTTCGTCTTGCATTTCCACAACCTCTCTACACTCTCCCAAAAACACTGATGGAGAAACAGAAAGGTCTTGGCTCAGATTTTAAAAGGCAGCTCAACAAATGGTCCATCCTCGCAGCCATTATTAGCAGCTCGTAGATCAAACATCTAAGTTCCTCAGAAACGGCAAACGGGGCGTAACTCTTGCCTCTATAGATGGGAACTCAAACAGCTCTCTAGGTGAACGTCACTGCTGCCCTGACCTACATTTCCAGGAATATGACGTAGTTCTTCTCAGCATGTTCAGAGCAGTGTCAGGTGTCAAAGATCTACAGTCTCGATAAGTCTCTGCAAGCGTGTGAGACACACGGGGAACGCAAGCCACAGCATGTGTCCCAGCCTACATCGAGCTCAAAACATTCATGGAGCTCAGCAGACAGAGGTCTGAAGGAAGTGGCATCCCACTGAACTTCTCCTTCCCCTCAGTCCACTTGGAACAGGCCTTAACCCCTTTGCTTCATATGAAAACTGCACTGTAGAAAAGGAAAACACTGACAGCAGTATAGGAGCTGCAGTGCTGCTTCGCACAGGGACTCACTTCTGCTCTGCTAGACCAGACAGCTGTTTTTTTGGAAACCAAACAGAAGTGACCTTCCTGGCTTACTGGGAGCAAATCTAATTCTAGGTTTCTGATCAAATTAAAGCAGGGACTGCTGGACTATTCCTGATGCAGCCATGTCTTACACCCCTCTTGAAGAAAGACTTCAAGATCTGATTCGGCATTCAGTAGAAGACTCAAGACAACTAAATAAAAAATCCACATGGACGCCTATTCTCATATGATTTTTTGGAATCATAACCTCCTTAAACGTAATTCTCCATTCTCTTTTCCACACATTGGGTGGCAAGCTAATCCACGTTTTAACAGATATTTTTCTTGAGGAGGGGCTTCTCTCATTCCAAGTCTCCAACTGCAATATGGGCTTCTGGGCCCTTCTTTATTTCAGTACTTTCACCCTCGCCACCCAATATGTGCCTCTGATGCCCTCTGGAGAGTAAGCTTGTCTACGCCCTCAATCTGTTCAACCACAGGGGCAAAACAAAGGACTGGCTTTCCAATTTGATGTGTATTTACTGCAGGCTTCAGACTCTAAACAGTATTTACCATCTGGAATAACAGGCAAACAAGAAAAGACCTTTTTCCAGACCTTAATCGCCTCGGGACACTCCCAAATCTATATAAAAAGATGGCCACAGTGCCCTCCAGACAGACATGCATAGGGAACAAGGAACTAGCACTACAATATACCATCTACAAGAGGGTCAAACACACCAATCAGTGAAAAAAATAGGATTTCAGGGAGCTAAACATTAACCCAGCACATGGGCTCATGTACAACATTCAAATCCCCTCTGCAGACTGGAGTATACCCAGTGCGCAATGAAACAGATCTGGCTGGAACTAGAAGGTTCCTGGCTCTGCCGTGGGAGCCTCCACATTCCCTCCCCGGACCAGGCATCACCGGATCCCGAACGGTCTGGACATTATTTATACGGAGCTCCCGACTGCTAGGACCCATGTGCCCCTGGAGAGGACGGCAGAGGCTTGAAGTGAAGCTCGACTGCACCAGGGCGCCTGTAGCTGTCAGACTGCATTTTAGGGACCCTAGTGCAGGAGATCAGAGGGGGCGCGTACCAGTTAGAGGGCCGAGAAATTATTATTTTTAAATTGCCTGGTATTGTATTGTTAGGGAAAAAAATGTTCACGAAAAATATCAGCGGCAGGTCCCTCATTTTTCACCAACGTGCAGACGGCACACTCCATGTCCAAAAGCTGCTGTAGGGATATTTGACCTGTGGCAGGGAAGCCTGGGTCTTCTTACCCGAGCACAATCAGCTCTCCGAACTTGACGGGCACTTTGGTGGAAGCAGAAATGTTTTCTTGGTCAGGAGAGAACATTAGCCTGGCTGTCCCGAAAGTCTTCCACAGTTAATCCTGGGCTTCAGTGCCTTCTTGTCATTCTCTTGGAAAAGTCTGCCCAACAAGAAGAAAAAGAGCAAGAAAAACATTAGCAGCTGTTGCTTTAGAAGCCCAGTTTGGGTGTCCCTTAGCTCTTGCGTGCAGTTCAGACCTCTGACAGACACAGACTCGGGAGCACAAGTCGGCTACAATCTTAGCTGCTGAAATGACAAATAGCAAAATACATTTCTTCGGCTGGAGATTCCTTGAAACAAACTATCAATCCAAGCAAGAGCATGAAGATGCTTATTCAACCCCAACGCAATCTGTAGTAATGTAGGAATCGGCTAATCCAAAGAGATTGTTTTTGTTTTTAGATGAGACACTGAAGCAATTTTAGTTGTAAGTGAAGCTTAAAAGGGTCATTTCATAGGACAATATGATGATGAAGGAATATCACAGCTTTCCGTTATTAGCAGACACTTCAAATGTACAGACATTCTACACACTTAATTGAATAGTTACAAAATTTACCTGCCCTAAATCAAATGGTGCCAGTGATGTAAATAAAGAGTAGACATATGAAGCTAAAACCTTTAATTTCATCGTCTGCAGAATTCGAGATCTTGCAAAGGGAAAAGCAGAATAAACCTGATGTTAAGGCCGGCTTTCACGAAGGGACCACTGGAAATAAGCTGCATTTGTAAGGTGCAGGTCACAGAAAGGTCGAGCTGCCCGGTGTGAAAGCAGCCCAATTACGGAGCAGCAGGAACATTCGCTGTCTGTGGAGGATTAAGACAGCTTCACTGAAGAGGATGGCTCAAAATTCACATGATCTGCTAACCTCCTGCTGGACATTGTTTGCAGCTCGGGGTTATTAGTATGGATGATTTGCGGCTTGATGGTTCTCAGGTAGTGTGCACAATCTGCTACCCTGCAGCCACAGCCATATGCTTCACAGATTCAGACCCACACAGGCCACTGACTAAAGCCCTTGGGATACATGGAACTCATTGGCTTTACTTTGTGGCCATATATATTAAATACATTAGCCAGCACAATGTCTAAGAATGGCTTCTCCCCATTGTACCTCAGAGATATTTGACCTAAACAGGTTTTTTCAGAGCAGGCGCACTGATATTCTTTCTGTTCTGGTTGCTTTTATCTTTTTGTGGTACTGGCCCATATCCCTAGTTGTGAAGAATGACCTTTAACAGAATGGTCTAAACTAGCAATTTCCCTCAGGAAGCCTTTATGTGGCATGTGTTTCACTTTGCTTCCTGTAAGGATTATATTCTCAATAGCCCTCGTGTGACAGCAGTATTAACCTGCCACAAAGTGGCCGATACTTCAATTTGTTTTAAAACAAATCCTACGTATGAATGTTTTGCTCTGTTGCCATGAACTTGTTGTGTAGATTTAGTACATTTAGTAGCGAAAGCAAATTCGAGGGATTCAGAATAAATGGCGAACAACGGATGAAGTGCGAGTGGCGCAACAGATAAAGGGGTCAAAACAGTCTGTATTTGTTACTGCCTCTCTGTTTGTGAGAGCGCAGGGTCGCATTGGCCCCAAGACAAAATCACCAGCCGAAGGAAGTGGGCTTCGCTGAGAGAAGGCACGCAATGTGGGTTCTGTTGGCACCATGGCAACCCACGACTGGAGATGGCAGGTTTGGGTGGGTACGTAACGACTGTAATTGTACTTGCTTTGTGAAATACCTTTATAGTGACCTGCTGCAGAAACGAGAGCTACAGTACTATATCAAACACCAACGCAAATGTCCACCAGCTGCAGATTCACATTCAGCATCCGATTCCTGTTCAACTCAACAGACTCATGCAGCCTCAAATATAATCAAAATCATAACAGGCCCAGTTATGTTAATGAGTCGGTACTGTATCTTGTCAGAAGGCCTGCTCATACTCACAATTCATCTTCATGCTTTATACTTCCTTTTTGTATAAAGCAGGTTGTCACTGTCAAATATAATTAAACGTAGCCAGTTAGTTAGTTCTTTGGTCATTTTCTGTAATAGTCTCAATAGTAAAATGTCCATGAATTATACTCTACCGAGAGGCATTAGAAATGCCACAAACAAGTACTGAAACTAAGATCACGTGTTTTCAATACCCTTCAGTATAACTTTCTTTGTTTATACTGCATGAAGCATTGTCTCAAAGCAAAGGTTTTACAACCAGAAAAAAAGGCACTATAGTATATTTGAGACCTGAAACGTTCGAGTTTTTTGCAGCAATGAAAATAGAAAAAAAGCAATTTTTTATCTTAATAAATTAGGGTCTAACGGTTCAGTTCATTACATAACATACAGCGAAAACTATCAACGAAGAGGGCTGTGTTCACACAGCGTGTAGCTATATTCTTCATATGTCTGTATCTCTTGGAGACTCTGAAAGCGTATCATACATCCCTGCTAATTACCTAGGCAATTCCTGCTATTGTACAGCTCACAGAAAGCCTCCTGCTCAACATCATAGCTGTTACTGGACCCATCTCCCAGGCTAATTAAAAATATTTTGAAGGTCACTGTGCAATTTGTTTTTCAGTTGTACTACAGGTCACACTGATTTATTATGAACTCTAAAAAACAATGCAAACTTTACAACATTATTGCATAAGCACAGAGCCACAGGCCACTTTACAAAATGACAGTTGTGCAACTCATGGCCCTGTGCAGAGGCAGCAGCTTGGTCCCTGTAGATGCATAAGAAAACAAAGCTGAATACAGCTAGAGAGGCCATCCGCCTTAACAATGATGAATGGCTTCCGAGGACGTTACTATGTCATGGAAAGTACAGTTGAAAACTACAGACTAGTTCAACACATGAAAGTGGTTTTGACTGGTGCATAGTACACAGCTCCTGAGAGCACCAGGCACACCCAGCCACTCCCTGTCCACACTGGCCAGACCCTCTCCATTGGCCCCGGACAGACTGCCAAAGCTCGGAGACTCCACCCTATGACAGGGTTTCGCCCCCGAACGCGGGCACAAGATTTCTACTTTCCCAGCAGGAAAACAGACCGGCCTTCCACCTCACTGCTGTTCTCAGGTTCACAAGATGCAAGGTCTTGCACACCAGAGGCAAAACATTTCAATATAACCTTCTCTTGAATAAATCTGCACCCATGTTTAGTTAAAACGAACCACACTGCTTTTCTCTCTCATGAGTTCAACTTAGTCAACAACTGGTAACAGCTGAAACAGAACAAGCTCTGCAAACCATATTAGGTTGCCTGAATAGTAACACCTTTTTTAAATGCCAAGAAGATAAAAGGCTAAAATTGCTTTAGAATCCAAGGAAGGGGGTCGTTTTGTGGTTGTGATGCCACAGAAGCACGGTGGGGATATTTCTGTTACCTCTTCCCTTTTGCATTCAGCAAAACACTGTGTGTTTAAATAAGGAAGTGAGCTAGGAGACTGCAGTTCAAGGCTTACCATGTTTTGAGAAGGCACATTCTTCACAAAGCAAGAGTTCTTCACTTCTGCACACACTGAAGCACTAATTGCACTAAACTGCACCCCCTTTTCTTCCCCAACACTGAAACATGTTTCTTCCCCTACCACTACACTTTAAAAGGCTGGTGAAGATTCTCAGCAGATGGAGCGGTTGATCACAAGCACGTCTTAAGCTGTGCCTTCGAAGCAATTTAGCATGACTTCACACATCCCAGCTCCTGACAGCAGCTCTCCTTACGTCAGCCTTTTTTCTAAGGGAGAAAAAGCAAGACACATGGGTACTGTTTCACATCTACAGCTTTTAACATGGGCCAAATTACTTGAACACCTAATAAAAGTCATCCACAAAAGGCATAACATTCGCTTTCCTTAGCTGGGGACAATGGTGAGAAAATGTCTTTGTGGGACACTGCATTTCCACTGAAGAAAAGTGAGAAAGTGTGGGATCTCTGGCTTTATGTTCAAAAGAGCTTTTTCAAAGGAAGAGGAGATCTTATCTTCTAGTTCAGGGTCTTCTTCCAATTCAGGGTTCAATAAGCTGGAGCCTATCACTGCAAGCAACAGGCTCAAGGCAGGGCGCACCCTGGACGGGATGGACAGATACAGACACAGAGAATACACACTCGCATCAGGACCAATTTTCCCAGGAGCCAATTAACCTACCAGTATTTCTTCAGTGTATCTGAGAAGACAGCATGTGCGTGAATTTAAGCCTTCTGCATTTTCCAAAAAATGTAATAGATTGCAGAATACACACGATTACAAACACAAAATCTATGCAAATTTATATCAGGCTGCTGAGAACATGCAAAATTACAAAATTCAAGATGACACTTGATGCTTAAAGCAATGAGAAAATAAACTTTGCTTATGACAAAATGTTTGAGCAAAGGTTTTCTTGACGCTATCAAAAACGAAATGCTGCTTCATTACACAGGGAGCCAAAAGGTAACTGCCGCCACAGGGCGTGTGCGATCAGGCAGAAACTGCTTTTTAAAGCAAATTAAGATTATTTGAAAAATAAGGAAACTTCCTAAGAAATACAGTGCGTAGCATTGAAATAATGAAAAAAAGCAAACCTTCAGAACCTATTCTAATTCCAATCCCCTTTCTTTTCTGTACCAGACTGACCGGTATGAACTGTGCCCACTCAGCACCACTCCAGCTTTCAGTGGACAGCCTGCCTGCCTGCCACACAGAAATCCTCTCGCCTCAGACAGGTTTCAGGGCGTGTTGCTCTATCATAGAGACGTTGTAAATATTAGAAACGTGAATCACGGTATTGCTAATGCTTTAAAGTTACCGGCTCTCAACTGAAACGAGGTAACATGACACATAGGTTATGGTTGGCAATAGTACAGACTGACTGGATGAACTGAAAAAAACAAGCTCCTTTAAGCAAATACTACCAAGTGCTGTTCTCAATTCGAGAGCATTTCAGCATGCGTTGTGTTTGATTTACGTGCGCATTATTTTTCAGTCTGCCGCTTCTTCAGGTAGTTTCTGGGTCGGCATTTAACTCAAACTGGGGGTGATGGAAGTGCCGGACAGACAGCGCTGTTCCTTATGGTCTCGTTCTGCCCGGCTGCAGTCAGTC